TATATATATATATATATATATATATATATATATATATATATATATATATATATATATATATATATGTATATGCGCGCACGCGCGTGTACTTGCTTATTATATGAGTGGATTATCATGCACATTATATAAGTACTGAAACGTACAAATGGACCGTGGCAGTCTCCCTGGACGTGCCGTTTAAACTTTAATCGCAAATTAGAGCTCGCATCGATGATTATCACGATCAAAATGGCTCAATTTCTTAAGATGTCAGTTTCTCACGTTTTCTTTACGCGTATCTCTATAAATGTACTATTTCTTGGATACTGAAAGTAACTAAATTCAGAGAGGAATATTACTAAAAATATAAATGTATGTGTAATGTTACTCAGACTGAATATTCTTCGATCTGTACAAGTCTGCAGTCTTTCTTAGCGCTACGAGTATCGTCACACTATACGTGTGCACATCTAATATTTACTTGGTCTGCCAAACTATAATAGCAATCAAAATCGACAGTACAGCCGCTCCGATTAACACGAGAACGCATTTCTTCTTGCGCAACTTAGTTTGATAGATACTCGCTTGCCTCACTTGAGATGCACCCTCGTTAACTGACACCTCGGTTCTCTCCACTGAAGCTTCTATAGAATCGATCACTTCTCCTTGATCATACACCAAAGCACCAAGATCTTTGAAGATTTGATTGATATCGCTAATGTTGCTCTGTAAAAACAATATAATGTTATTGCATCTGCATATACGAATTTACAGTGAGAAACTTCACCTCCAATTGCCTGATGCTAGCTTCTTGCTCTTCCAACATACGCAAATTCAACTGCTCCTGCTGTTGATTTTGCATCATCTTCAGTTGTGTATTTTCACTTGTATATGTTTTACTATCTTGCAATTCTATGAGTGTCTCTTGTTTCTTTTCTCCAAATGGAGCAATGCCTGCGCTAGCTTTGGCCTTTCTGACCATTTCTTTTTCCTTGGAGGCAGCTAGCCTTTGTACAGCCTAAATTTATAAGTTGCAGTTATCATATTGATATATTGCTAGTAATAAAATATATTTTCTTTGTTCTTACTTGGAAAGAATTTAATGCACTTGTAAACTCATCCTGAAGGCGCTCTCGTTGCATTTTGCGCTGTCTTTGTTCTCCAGGACTTATAGAACCAGAGTTATTTGCTAATATAGCCAAGTCTCGTAGATGAACACTGGTATCCTTCGCTAACTGTTGTGTATAATGCTGTATCTGATGCCTGTAAAGTGAGCAATTACATGTAAAATCAATTAATATTTTTCTATATATATCTTATTTTGTAACTTACAGCTGATTTCTCAGCTCTTGAGAGTCAGTAGAACTGCCCAATTGATTGACCATCTTCTGCATAGAAGATACTGCAAAACAATTATTGAGATAAAGAAAAATCTTATCTTTCTTATACTAATCTTAATCATTTGACTCACCATTCTGTGACACCTTCAATATAGAGGTGCCAATAGTCTGAGACAACCTGCCAAAATCTTGCTCCCTGGCAGGGCCACCGTTATGATAGGATGAGAATCCAATATCCATCTTGAACAGTCTGTGATGTTAGGCTAAATCATACAAATTCAGATTATATTATATAGTACTAACATAAACATTTCATCAAACTGCTATTCACATTATCTTTGATACCCATTAAATAAAAAATCTGCCATTCATTGCCATTGTGCGATATTTAACACGGCAGATTTATGAATTTATTATGAATGATGAATTTCTCACGAATGGGCGTACTCATCCGGAACTAACCAATTACATACGAAAATGGAATGCTTCTCGACATTGCTTATAGCAAAAATTGGGACGACGACGATAACGAGATAAAAGAATTTGCGTAAAACTTACCTCGCGCTAATACTTCGTCGAAAACGACGAGATGTTGTTACGGAGCGTTAATCCACTCTCGGTATACGCAGTTGTCAACAAAACTGTCAGTGAGTCGACTTCTCTCGTACGACTGATGATTGATGATTCACGAAATTAGCATGCGAGATTCCTACTTCTCAGTATTTCAGGAACATATATATATACACGGTTCACGTCACCACGCGCAAAGAACTCTTCTGCTCAAAGATCGCACGACAAACATCAAAACTTTTCGCATTAATCGATAACGCCCCGTGAGACGGATCTCTCGCACAAATGTCGCTGCACAAGCGTATCAATTATTAGATTTTACGTCAATGACAGAATCTAACTCTACCAACGGGCATTTAAGAGACATCTGTTCCTTTATAACTGTACACCATATATATGTTTCTTGACACTTTACTATAGTTTCCTACAATTTTGTACTTTATAGAAATACGTGTGTAAGGTTGAAAATCGCACAAGTGACCCTAGTTGGAATGTAAAGGCATATGTGGTGTCTAGTGTGTAGTCCTAATGGCTCCTGCACACAGGACGCGGTAATGCTTGCCGCGCGGCGGAAGTTTGCGCGACAGCCAATCAATATGCTAATTTCCGTAATAACCTTCTAGCTCTTACGGAAAAACAACATATTGATTGGCTGTCGCGTGGATTTCCGCCGCGCGGTAAGCATTACCGCGTCCTGTGTGCAGAAGCCATAATACTTCTTTTGATGTATTTCGGAACGCATTGATATTTTCAAAATATCCAAAAGAAGAAAAAACAAAGAGTAAAAGTAATTAATATCGCTGTCTATCGCCAAACATGGCGGATAAAATATTAATCCGCACGAAATATTCATAAGAGGAAAGGCTGGTTTATGATGGCCGTAATCCGTAAACTTATACCGGAACCGTAGCAACGTTAAATCAACATTTCGAACACACTCTTAGGGTGCCGTCCCATTGAGCACGGATCGGAACGCCGGATCGGATTTCTTACTATGGGTGCGTTCAGATTTCCTACCCAGGTGCATTCTATTACTAGAAACACTATAGTATATGTTACATATACTATAGCACTTTTAGTATTAGAATGCACCCGGGTAGGGAATCTGAACGCAGCCTATAATGAGCGTTCTGTTCTCTAGTTCCGTTCCGTAAAAGTTTCCTCTACTAGTCCCATGTATCAAAAACGGAACGGATTTCTAGTTATAAAATATATTTCACTCTTCAATTAAATATTTCAAAATATTCATGACAATGTTATCGGCAAGATAATTGCATAAATTATGTATATAATTAATTCTGTCGCGTCAAAATAACGAAATATTGACGAATTAATCATATTTATTTGCGACCGACGCGCTATTCCGTTCCGTTTTTGCTACATGGGACTGGTAGAGGAAACTTTTACGGAACGGAACTAGAGAACGGAACGCTCATTATAGTAAGAACCGACCCGGCATTCCGATCCGTGCTCAATGGGACGGCACCCTTAGGGTACAAACCCATGCAGCGAAATAGCGGAGCGCGGAATGAGAACGGAATCAATCATGAACGAAAGCAATTACGAGCGAAAACTGTGAAACGCTCGTGATTGGTTCCACTCTCGTTCCGCACTCCGCTATTCCGCTGCATAGATTTGCACCCTAATGGTGCAGTCACACGGGACAGACGTATGCGCAATGCGGAATTGACGGAACGTAGCCTGTCCAATAGCAAGTATTACGTCAAATGTGGTCCGCTGAAATGTGTTTCCTTATGTCACATGGAGAGGAAATCGTGGAAACGCAATTGGCGCTTAGCCAATTACAAGTATATTTCCCATAAATCCTTCTGTTGGATCTATCGGAATACTCTATATTATTGGCAGATGCCAATTACGCTTCCGTAATTTTCGCTCCATATGATATTAGGGAATAAAATTCATACAGATCGGAATCACAAAACTCAAACAAGCTTAAACTATCATCCACATGTAGATGATGAATCTCTTCGTCAAATGGTTGACAGCAGGAATGTTGTAACAAATCGAAGTTTTGTGTAAGAATATATCCACAATATCCACATTTTTTATTCTATACAAGAATAAACAATTTATATATAATAATAATAATTTTACACTTTCAAACAATGTCGATTAGATATTTGTTATTCTTAACAATGTTAAATATTATTCTTACAGATCTCTGTTGCACATTCGGCATTTTTTCTTCTTCGGTATAAATTCTCCTTCTTTCAAACACTTATCAGTTACCTGCTGCATCGCTTACGAACATATATATTATAGGTTATAAGTAATTCCGTCCAATCCGTGCAAATATAATGTAAACTTGCAGATGACTTAGACGGAACGAACGTAAAACAGGTTGAGCCAATCACGAGTGTTCCGCCCATTCCGCATTGCGCATACGTTTCGTCCCATGTGACCGCACCATAAGGGTGTCTTTAAATAGGAGCGTCGAGCGTTAGCCAATCAACGAATGAGATCCCAGAAGTATACTTGTAATTCTTGCGGAAAGTGACAAGTTGATTGGCTACCGTTGTAACGCTCGACGCTCCTATGTAAAGGTACCTTAAAATTGATGCATGCAATTCACACAGAAGCACGCATCGTGTGTGATTGGTCTACTTCCATTAGGTACGGAAAGTGCTACAAGTACAGTTGAAAAAGAACAGATGATGTTTTTATATTAATTGACAGTTCGTTGATGTTGCGAAATGAGGATATTTCGCAGCTGTATTTAACATTTTACATATGTAACTGTACACGGTTACGTAAAGAAATATATACAAAAACTACATCTTTTTAAACAGACATAATGCTCCCGGATATAATGCTAAAGTATATCTTCCTCGTTGGGACAATCATTTTTACGACCTGTCTGTCACAATCAGAGGTTAGGATATGTTTTCATTATTGACTTCACTTAATTACATTAACTCACGTATTCTTAACAACTGGAAATTACTTTAGGCGCAATACGATGATAAAAGATGCAAATGCATCTGTCCAAGTCTCTCTTCTGTCATAAATACAACTCAGACTTCTATGGAACGTCTGACATATATCATAAATGTTCCACCGTTACAATGGTAATTAGAAATGTATCTCATAATTTTAAATACTTTGAGTTAATTGCTAAAATATGGATATAATTTCTAGTAAGTGTGAAAGTGTTGTTCTACCAAAACTTGGAGAACAAATAAAAGGCAAGGAAGAGATATTTTGTCCACGATGTGACTGCAAATATGAAAACAGGAATACAACTATTATCAAGGTTGCCTTATTATCTACGAATTTCACATCTATACCATGAGACAGTAATAGATTAACACAACTTTGATCCTTACAGATTGTGGTGATAATAGTCATATGGGTTATATCATTGTTAGTAATTTATATGCTGTTCTTAATTTGTCTGGATCCATTACTCAACAAGCGGATACATAAGGCATCAGCAAATATCGGTTATCACGAACATAATAATGAGGAGGTAAAAACATACAATTGTGAGCTTTTTCTGATAGTTATATATGTTATAAGAAATATATGTTTATGATTATATCATTATGATATATATGGAATATATGGAATATATGGAATATATGATATTCCATATAATTATATATGGAAAAGAGAAAAGATAAATGCAACATAGATGACATTCGTATGGAACAGGTTTATTTTTCTCTAGAACATGTTTGAATATTGAAAATTAGGCAAAAGATGTGATACTTTAAGAAATCCGTCCCATTATTCCAATTTTATGACATATATATAATTATTTAATATTTTTGCTATCTATACTCGAGTGGTCTGTTCTTTTTAACTGCACTGCTGAACTAGTGCGATAAGTGCAATAAATGAAAAAAAACATATTTCTCTCATTTTAACTTATTGTACTAGTTCAGCAGTGCAGTTGAAAAGAACAGACCATATATCTTAACCTGTATCAAAATTGATTACGTAGCACGTAGTCGCTTGAATATTTTTACTTACCATATCCAAAGTTGTAAGCAATTAACAAAATACGTAAATGACTACTTTATCTTTAAATTACATAGGATGATTCATCTATTGCACCTGGAACTTCTCACCCAATGGGAGAAAGAGGCAATGTCTTAAATCGTGTTGGACATCAGCAAGATAAATGGAAACGGCAAGTCCGCGAACAAAGGCGGAATATTTACGATCGTCATACTATGCTAAATTGAATCGTACATTTTGTTCTCGGAGAACGTTATTGAGTATCTAAAATATGACGAAATTAGTTGTGACCATGATTTGTTCATTGTTCTTTTGAAGTAGACTCTTTCTCTTTGCACTTATTGTATATACATGTATTGATGAATGTCTCTTTCGCGATAATAAAATAATATTAAACGTTGGAGCAATATTTGTAAAACGTATTTTCGTAAAATTTATCAACAGATCATGCCACGGCAAATACGTTAATATTAAACCAAATGTATATGTAAGAATTTTATAATTTACTGTTCCTAGCGTATTAAATAATAAATTATTAAATATGTGTTGAAATATCGTATTGAACATATAACATTGGAGCAAGTCTGTTCTTATTATTATTATAGTTGTGAAACTATTCGGAAAAGTTTCCAGTCAGAATACTTGCGTTTTCCCTAAAAAATCTATCCTCCTATGAAATCTAGCCCTGTCCCTATGAAAATACTATGAATACCTAAAAATAATTGCATAGAACTCAACTGCGACATAGAAATTGTCCAATTGGACAATTCTGATTAAAAATCATTTCAAATAATGTCAAAATTAGAATATTTTACCTATATTATGACGTCATTAAGGCTTCTGGCCCTTCGCATTATCTCTTTTTAATGACGTCAGAAATGAGAAAATGCATTCCAAAAATTCTAGCAAAATACGATAAAATAAAAATATATATCCATAAAGTAACATTTGCAGTCGATTAAATAAATAAAATATTCCGTGCACTCCCTTTTTGTTCTAACAATCAATAATTTGTCGTAAATTACAATAATTACAATGATAATTATGACGTACAATTCATCTTCTTAACCTATTTCTTCGCCTATTTATATTCAAGTTAATTTATAATATTTTGCAAGAATTTTTAGCATGCATTTTCTCGCTTTTAACATCATTAAAAAGAGACAGACAATGCGACCAACTTCAATCTGTATCAACCATGACGTGAATGTTCGGTCCACTCACATGAAGTCTATTCTTTTGCACATACATTTTCTGTGTTACACGTTTCCGTGTTCCATATAAATCATATACGTCATTTCCTGTTCTTTGGCATTTCGCATTAGACAAAGTTTCGGTATAACCATCAGAAGTCCTTTTATCAGATTTTGTAAAAGAATTCCTCGATTACAGTGTTAAATAGCAATAGATTCGCCAGAAATGGCGTCGCGACGGTCATCGTCGCCGTTGATAAAGAAAAATTGCGATCTTGCGATCTCAAGACTATTGCTACCACTTCAGAATTTGCATTTGCGAAATCACGAGCGAGCAGACTTTTCATTTACTGAGCCATACGAGAACGTAAGTAACCGTTCTAGCACGTGCGAAGTATATATCTGAAAATATTAGTTGAAAATCAATGTGTAAGGTCTGATTTTTCAATAATAGTTCAAATTCAAAAGTTTAAACTACTATTGGAAGATCAACCCTAAGTGCCATGTGAATAGCACGTGTGAACATTGAAATACTTGGAAATTTCTAGAACGAGTCATGGAGCCATGTTGCTTCGGTGATTACTCCTCCTTCAGAAAATATAGTCGTTTTGCCGAACGCTCCCTTAAAAAGACGCTACCGCTTTCCTAAAAAGAACTTAAGACCCCGAAAGCTTTCTTATAGTGAAAATCACCAAGACACAATCGATAGCTGGATGGCGGATCAATGGAAGGAGAAAATCCTGTTGCCGCAAGTGGTATCAGGTAAAAAAGGATCAGTACTGAGAAATAAATTGCCCGGGCCGAATAACAAGGAAAATCGAAAACGCACCGGAAGCAAACCGCGAAATCTGCCAAAAGAGGACGACGAAAAAGGTAGTAATACTTCCTACCCGTTGAATGCAAAACTAAGACAATACAGTAGAACAGACTTTGTGCATTTACGCATTTAAATCGCGCACCTGAACGATACACAGTATATATTGATCATCAAGATGCGAAAACTTATTAAATTATTAAGATGTTGTTAATATTGATGATGATAATGATGATGAGATGATCAAATCAGTATTTCATATTGCATTAAAATCAGTATCGATATAATTAATGGATATTTATTAGATATTAATGACTTACTAGATTACGTTAAAAATAATATGTTAAAAGTAATTAAATTAGCATAACAATGAGATTAAGAGTACTTATTGTATCAGTACGGCAATAGTGTGTAATTAAATCGGTGAATTACTCTAATCAATTAACAGCTAGATGTTAGTCAATTGGATTCGACTATAGTTAGCATCATTGTGTGAGATGATTAGAATAAAATAATCAATAAATTATATGTATATACGTATAATTCGGTTCAATTAAGTTAAATTTATTAGATTAATTTATGGCTACGATTGAATCTATGATAGTGAAAGAGAGTTATTTATTGTTGCATGTCCATCAAACAGTTTGAAAAAGCACCGTTCGTACGACTTTTGCAGGCGCATATGCGTATGCATGTACACTCCCCGGGTCGCTGTATCCGCTGACGTCACAACGACCTGACGACCCCGACGAACTCCGGTATCGCGATATTAACATTGCGCGATTTACAATTGCGTATATCTATAATGCACGCGCAATTTTTCGCTTTACACTCTTCGTGATTCGTCTCACAGTATATTTTTCTCACTGACAAATCCGCGCTTATTGAGAGTGCATTTGTCGTTGAAAGTTCGCCGTCTCAACTCGGAATCCACACTCGGAGTCCAATGATACATCCAGATACGCGTAAATCAAAAAAGAAAGAAAAACTCGTATTCTGCAAAATAAAATTTCAAATCCGTTCTTAAAAGAACAACTTATAACATTTCGCGTTATAACATTTCGCGCGCGTGGTTCCGCCGATTTCTGCGAATTAAAAACTCCTGCTCTGGAGTAATTTCCAGGCGAGGGTACGCGAAGTACGCGATGATAATCCAGTGGCGAAAGGACCACACCCGTTTGCGAAGGGGAACGGCCAGACGAGGTGGAAAGGTCCACTCCTCTCGGCCATCTTCCTCTCCTTTTTTACCATCGACCCTGTCTACGGCGCTCCCATGTTTGTTAACCACTCGCACCCCGCAGGGTCGGTACGATCTCGAAACGCTATAATTGACCCTACCCATCAGATCCACTCGAAACCAGCGTACCTTCCACAAAGGGTCATTTTCGCGTTTCTAACGCGCAAAAGTTATTGCCATGAATATTGGGCATTTCGTACTAGTCTATCTGTACTTTTCTAGAGACACTTTATATCTATTTTTGTCATTTTTTTTTATTCCTTCTAATTTTTTTCTTTTTTTCTGTAGGAAAAATCGATAACTTTGGGTCACCGATCTTGAAATCTAAGCATTCGCTATAAAGCTGCCACGCGCCCAAAAATGTATTGTGTATAATTATATCTGGTACGAGACTTTTGATATTTAAACTAGAATTAGACGAATTAGAAGAATAGTCCTTCCACGCGTGGCCCTTTAAAAGTTCAATGTTTTCCAGAACTATTTCTCGAGAACCGGTGGAACGTATTAAAAATATAAATGTATACGCGAACACGATTCTCGCGTCTCACCTCTCCGTTTTCGCCAGTGACGTAATTCTCGAGGGTGTTTAGGATCCCGTGACGCATCGAGAAGGGCGAGGGATTATTTATTCATATACAGAGTGACCAGTATGTTCCGTATATTATACAGAAAACCTAATACACGTTACATATCACAAAAAATCTTTGTTCATAATTTGTTTCATATCACTAATTAATCACTAATAGTTAATCAGTGATAATTTCTAAGAAAACTATTGGTCAGGCTTGTAATATTTTCGATACGTCGCTTAGTACATATATTTCAATCTCAAATTTAGCTCTGCTTAGTTCTTTTTAGTTCTTTTTAGTTCTTTTTAGTTCGTTTTAGTTCTTTTTAACTCTGCTTCAACGTTGTTACACACCCAGCCTTAAATTTTTTTCTCGACTCTGTTTAAGGCTCCTGGCTCTCACGTTATTTATCTCTTTTTAATGATGTCAGAAACGAGAAAATGCATGTTATAAATTCTTGCGAAATACATTAAAATAAAAATATATATCCATAAAGTAACACTTGCAATCGATTTGTTTAATCGATTTGTTGAGTGGTTTGTGAACCACTCCCGATTCTCTCGGCCAATTTTGTGCTGCTGGTACGACTTATATATCAGTGCCCTATAAAGGGTTAAAAAGAGATAGATAATGCGAGGAGCCAGAAGTCTTAAGTTTTTCATATTATACGTGTGTAATACTTGTGCAATTTCCATATTGTGCAATGTGTATTCTTGATTTGTCAACGATTTTTGCTAATAAACACCAGACCAGGAAGCGAGGAGTTTCCCTTATTTTGGCCGGGGTCCGAAAATTCGTAGTGTCGCCACTAGTCGTGTTAATTTCGAGCAAGCGCGCTTATAAAGCGTAATAAAAAAGGGGAGCTAATTATAGTCGTGCGGCCTATGCTGTAGAGAATCAAAAGAGCGCGACAACAAAGTGAAAAGTCGACGAGCGGAGAGAAGGGAGAAAGAAGCTGCAGTCTTTTCGAGTGTTGCATCTTACCCGGAGTCATCAACTTTGAGTTTTTCTTCTGATATCGATACCTGAAACAAATTACATCGCATGCATGTCGTATAAATGTAATAAAGACTGACGGGTCTAACACATTATCTCGTAACCGCGGACGACCCGAGCAACTCGCACAGTCAACTTTTTACCGTAATTTTGATTAATTAAACGATTCAAGTTTTGTCGTATCTCATTTTCAAAGGTCAATGACAGATAGGTCGCGATATTATAACGAGCTTCAGAACGCATCCGGTGTTCAATAAGAAAATTTCTCTGAGAATTCATTCACCACAGTCAGAGAAAATGACAAACTACAAAGTGACACAATATTTTATATTTTATTTTATATTCTTTGTATATAGAGAATTAATATATATAGTTCAGTAAACTATACATTCTATTACTAAAACCTTATCTGTGTATGTGTGTACGATAATTAAAGAAAAGTTTGTTAAATAATATACATAATAATTTTACGTACACAAAAACTCGTATAGTTATCACTTTATAGTTTGCCATTATCATATTTTTCTCTGAGTGTAAATAAACAAATTCTCCTATAATAGGAAAACGTTCCGAAACTGTTAAAAATTTTGTTTAAATTGTTTAAAAAATGTTGCAATCAACTATATGCTCGTATGCGTTATCTCGAGCCCTACTTTACACATAACGATTATTACGATAAGAGTCGACAGGACTGATCGATTTTTGTGGATTTTCCGAGACGACGACATTTCGACGGACGGAATACACGGCGGCTTTCCTCGGGCGCGCGCTCTTACGCGCCGGCGATGCTCGCCTAGCAACACAGTTCGTCCAAGTGCCGAAGTCACGGGAGTGATAACACAAGGAGCAGAGCGGAGCGGGTGAGAGAACGCATGTACCACAGCGCGTATATCTCGGGTTATCTGCCTCTTTTTTTTCGGCGCTTGCGACTGCGACAGCGCGGAAAGTGTTACGTTAACAAGCGCGACTGGCCTCGGAGATCAGTCCGCTGGACCATTACGGGTCATCGCGAGACGAGATAAATACGAGACGATGATACTATCTCTCTTTCTTTCTCTCTCTGTCTCTGTGTGTTTCTTCCTTTCTCTGTCAGGGAGGCGATACCGACGTCGAATTGACCGTCTCTCGAAGCGTTTGTCATTTTAATTTTAGCCGAGGCTAAACACAAACCAAAGACGGGCAGAATTTCGCTCGAAAGACAGATAACACGAATAAACGAGATAATTCGTCATTTAAGCGCAATCGTCGCGCGCGAATAGACCGTCTTTATTTCGCAATATGCACTTATGCGGTCGCTTTCGATTGTTATTCAAATGAGGTGCGTGCGAGTACTCGTTTTATTTCACCGCACTTCTTCTATGTGCTTGGGATGTAATTTTTGCCTCCACTCTCACGTGGATATTCCACTTTAATCGGGAAGAATGCGGCGAACAGATATCTCTCTTTCTCCCTCTCTCTCCCCCCCCCTCTCTCTCTCTCTCTCTCTCAGAACGACGGTCAATGCCATCTTCTGGGCTACGCTGTTGCTCCCGCACGCTCGATATATTTCCGTCCTGACCCACTAATACATTTCACGAGGTCCCCATGTCCCTATCGCATCTTACCACACTGGAAAACATAAAACGTGAAGAAATTATTAATTCATATATCAATAATTAATTTTCCACACATATTTTTAAGAAATTATTAAGAAATTTGTTTATACCACCGTAATACAATCAGTGCAAAGGTTGCAACTATTTCATTGACGCATTTGATAAAATGACTATTTCATAAAACGCATTCGTGTCCAATAAGAAAATTTGTTCTTTAATAACTCTTGCACTAAGAAAATATTTATTTTAAAAATTCATAAAACTTCGTGAAAATTTATTTCACTTGATAAAAATTTATTTATATTAAAAAAGTATGATATGATAAAAATTTATTTCACAGTAATAAACTTCATATCCTACAAATTTTTAAGTATTCTCTAAATACTTATAATAATTTCTCAATACTAAAGATAGATTCTCCTATACTGAGAAAAAAATATTTGAACATTTATTTGTGTGGGATATAAAGTTTGCTTTCTTTCTCACAGAAATAAACCTTATTTCATGAAAATAAATTTTATTTCACAGAGATAAACTTCATATACCACAAACAAATTTTCAAGTATCTTTTTCTCAGGATCGTGCCAATAGTGGCCACTTAAAGCTTGTTCTATGAGAATATTCAGATTCGAATTTTTTTATATAGAGTTAGATCTGAGTTCCTTATTTTAATTATATAATATACGTGACATTATATTTGTAATTGCGATTCAGCTGAGAAACACACATCTAACTCGAAATTCAAATCTGAATATCTCACCTATGGTAAGTTTCAAGTAACAGCTATTAATACAGACCTCAGTGTACTTAGACACCTGATACGGCCCGAAGTTTACCGACGTAAAATGTTGAAATCTTCCCGCCATTGGCTCGTCTCGCCATTGGCTTCGTATCGTTTCTTCGTGTCGCAATCTATCGATCTATCGATTGCTTTTGAAACTTGTCCGTTCTGTCAATTCTCCGTGACCTCTTTTTTTTATCCTTTACATTCTAATGATAGCCGGCATTTCAGGTTCATCGGTCGAGGAAAACGATTCCTCGCCTTTCACCATGTTTTAGCAATGTCAGACTCGGCGGCCCCTGCTTTAAAACTTTAAATTGTTCTCTATATAAATATGTTGAGTTCGACAATAGACAAAGTATGCCAGAATCGCTCGCGCCCGCGCTTCCATATATTCATGAACGTACATACGCGTCACGGACAAACGCGCATAGGAAAAGTGTATTTGCATGTGAACGAAGCGCGGGTCTTCGGGGTCGGCCGGTATATCCGACCGCTTCGCCGGCCCCGTATAATAATTAATTTTTAGCTTGGCCGTCGCGAAGTACGCGTTCTCTTATGTAATTTCCCGAGCCCACAGACCAACAGTACTTCCACTTCTCTCATAAATAAAACTCACTTTTTAGTTACGCTGCGATAACAGCTATCGAAAAATCTAACGACACATCGTACAAGCAGTTGAAGGTCGCGCGAGTTTAAATTTGAAAAGGGTTACTCGGTCTTCAAGATTAGTTTTCTCGAAGAGACATACATACGAGATACGTATAATCTTGTTATGTTTCGTTATATAGGAGCTTCGCGCGTATCCTACTCTTTTTTTTTTCTTACGATAACTATCGAAAATTCGAGCGAGAAACGTCCCGATCTGTTCGTTCACCGTATGGGACGATACATCCCAGTGAAGAGATTAAACAGTTTTGCATAGATATTGACTTGAGTCCGAAGATTGTAAACGAATAATTTTTTAATCAGAGAGGTTCGAATAAAACGCAACAGTTTCTGTTACTCTTCGTTAGCGTTATATGAAGTGCACGTGCTAGGAATATATTTTGCCATGGCCGTCAGAATTATCAGCGAAGAGCTTATGGCCCTATTTCGTAAGAGAGAACAACGACACACAAACGCGAGTGGCGATAAAATTTTTTTTAATTTAGGCCACGACAAAATTATGGGGTCGAGTCGACCGGGGTCGCGGCCGATGATAAGATTACTCTGACGTCGGTTATAAGTGCATTGGTTACGTAAAGTGATACTACGACGAAAGATGTGCTCTTTCTCCCCCTCCCTCTCCCCCCCCTCTCTCTCTCTCTCTCTCTCTCTCTCGCTCGACGATACCTCGTCAATATGACAGCGATCGGCTCCATTGAGGATCAACAACAAGATTGCGCAAACATGATTGCGATGCGGAGATCGCGAATTTATGTCGCACTCTTATTAGCGAGCTGTACAAAAACGAGGATTTTAAGTCTCAGACGCGTAATCCGACGTGAACTCGGACTTTCATGCTTGAAATCTCCCGGCGAGGGCTCTACGGCTCTCCGCCGCCGATCCTGCGTGCGCACATACGTGCTTAATTATCGGAACGCACGCACGCACGGTGATCCTGCAGGAGAGGAGTGCGTTTAACCTGCTGATCAAGGGGCGTGGTGGCGTCGAGACGCCAGCCGGCTGCGTATATTACGTGTGTATCGAGCGACTATATCGAACCGGAGCGAAGTTAGCTGCGCTCTCCTTTTGAAGAAAACTACCCAAGCTACTTCAGCGACCAGTTTCAATTTTTAATATTTTTCCTCGATATAACATCAAATTCCTTCCTAGGCTACAGGGTGACGTCTAAAGACGTTCTAATGACGTATTCTTTACGTTAGAGACGTCTTTAAGACGTGATTAACATGGCATTTGACGTCATCCTGCTAGTCGAGTTTTTTTTATAAATATCTTGAAATCAAGATCTAAGGCAGAGTCATACAGACTGCCTTCGCTTCGGCTACTATTGTGCTGATAATGTCATTCTATCTCTGTTGTTCACCATAGGCTAAAGGAAAATAGAAACAATGCTTTCAGCAGGAAAGCATCCCAAACGAACTGAAATCCGATCTGTGATCACCAGAAGTATCTTAAGACACTATAAAAGCCGTTCCATTAGGCCTGTTCTTTGTAGCTGCACTGCTGAACTGGTGCAATAAATTAGAATGAGAAGACGTATATTTGTCTCATTTCAATATATTGCACCAGTAGCAATATATTCAGCAGTGCAACTACAAAGAACAGGCCTATTGATTGGAGAAAACCATACGAGATACTTTCAGCGACCAGTTTCAGTTTTTCAAATATTTCGTTAGAATATAATATTAAATTCTTTTCTCGTAAAAATCACGAAACCAGAATCGAAAGCGGAGTATTCACATAGTCCGAGATCTGAGATCATCAGAAGTTTATCTTAAAATGCTATAAGAGCCGTTCCCTCCGTTGGCCACAGGTCATCTTGAGATAAACTCAAGACGACCTTAAATACACGATCGGAGCGTGAATATCGCCGCTGGGCTTGTAACTTCGAAGTGCTTGGAAAATTCTGGCGGAATCGCTGCGCGCGATACTAAATGTCGCCAAGGGCGAGTGCGCGAACTTCGAATCGCGATAAAGATGGCGCGAACGGCGTTCGATCGGAATATTTCACTACTTGCGCGGCAAGGGTCATTACAAAGGCGCGATTCTTCTAACACGCGCCTGATGGCACGTAAATGCAGTCATTGCCCCAGCTCTCAGGAGCAGCCGCCGCGGCACCTCCGCCACCTGCGCCATTCACGAGCCGCAGCCAGCTTCGCCCAATCGCTCGCGTTCGCATCGCCGAAACCGCGAAACGCCGCGCGCGTACCTTTCCTCCTCACCACCCCCTCGTCTTGCCAACGCGTCGCAACTTCTGCCCGAGTCCCATGCGTATCTCGCGCGTCCGCTTCCCCTACCAGATGGCGCACCGGCCATCTGATGGGGGGAATTCGCGACTGCAACGACGACGGTGACGAGTGTGTCGACGACGATGACGACGACGACAACGACGGCGACGCGGTACGGTAGAGGAGCAAGAGTATAGTCTGCGATAGCAGGGGGCAGTGCGGTATACGTTGGTAGAGCGCTATACGCAGGGCCGGCTTCAGTTCAGTTCGATCAGCTGAAGCACGTGGACGTCGTGGGAGCGTGCTTGTGGTTCGTTTCTTCTCTTCTTCGTCTCGTTTCTTCTCCTCGTGGACGCTTCCGCACTCGTCGCGCGGCATCGAATCGGAAAGGAAATAGAAACGCACTGGAAGAAAGAGAGGTAGAGAAAGAAAAAGAAGCAAGAGAGAGAAGAGAAGAAGAAGACTACTCACGCAGTACGTTTTTTGCTCACGGGGAAAGATGGTGAAAGAGGAGAAGGAGGAGGAGGAGGAGGAGAAGAAGGAGGATACTCTCGTTTCCTCGCTGCACAAGAAGGAGACGCGACCTTTCTATTTTCTCTTCCGACGTTCCTTCGGATTTAAACTGGTCGTCCGGTGCCAAGGCCTCTCTCTTCTCTCTGCCTGCTCTCCTCTCTTCGTCGTCCCTCGCTACCGCCTCTCCTCTCCTCCTCTTTTCTCACTCTCGTCTCCTCTTCTCTCACTCTCCTCTCTCCTCTCCTCTCCTCTCTTCTCTTCTCTTCTCTCCTCTCCTCTCCTCTCCCTCTTCTCCTGTCCTCCTCGCCATCTTTCCACCTCCTCGAATCGTGCGCCACGCTTCCGGCTGACAGTGCGCTTTTTGGGCCTGCGCCTCGCGCGATGGACGTCGCAGTCTCCCCTACTCCTCCACCATCATCTCCTCCCTCTCCTCATGACACGACGCGGTTCTTCGTGAAGCGCGAATTTCCCCGTCGCAAGGAGGGTGGAGTCCGCCGCGGACGTTTCATACGAGATCGCGAGGCGTTTACGATACGACGACGGCGACGGCAACGACGAGACGCGCGTATCCGGGTGTGCCGGATTCACGGACGAACGGGTGGACGGACGGACGGACGGACGGACGTCGGCCATGTCGTCGTCGTTCTTCCTCGAGCGAGCGTGCGAGCGAGCGAGCGAGCGATCGATCCCCCGAGAGCGGAATGTGCGCGCAGCTGTTCAACAGCTCCTCGTCGTCGGCATTGGATCAGGTAAACGAAGATCGTGGTCTAGATGCTTTTTCTCGAACGTCTCGCCGCAGAAATTTGTTCACAAATCATTTTCCCATCGGTCCGCGTGGCGCATGGAAATATTCTCCATCTTCCTCGGCATTTAGATGTAGGATCGAATGACATTTTTCTTTACTTTCTTTTGAATTCCGATAACCTTTTTTCTTTCTTAACGATCAAGCTTCCTGAGATGGTTCTCTTGAGAATTTCACTGCGGAATTTCACGTATACCGCGAGAATTTTCTTTCAACGAATCGTGTGTAAACGTATTTCTCATTTTCTTTTTTTGTCCATTGACCTTTAATCCATTCGAAGATTTCATCGAGTCTCATTGCATATTCTTTTTTTGATGATTGCTGTTTGCTGCTTTACTTATTCATCCGTTTGTTCAAATATTTGCTAATAGAGGGTATAGAATTGCAAGAGAGTGGAACACAACGCAGGTAACAAGATACTATTATTGGCAATTATAATGATGATAAAATGTAATCATATCACGAGGTGTTGGCAAAAATATAGACTTTTAGGGAGTGTTTTTGTTTTTAGACAGCAACAGACAGAAGGGAGATATATTACTTAAACCTAATTACTTAAAGGATAAGCTAAGTCACTCATCCTATTAGAATAGTCTATTATTTTATTTACATTTTTTGTTCATTTCAATGTGATTTAGAATTCTGAAGCAAGCCGATGATATAATTTTCCAAAGACTTTTGTTTCGTGTTTTCAACAATATTCGTCGATATTTTAATTTATCGACGAGTCGGACTTGAACATTTTTCAACTCCCCCATATCCGGTAAATTTCGCGCGCGCAAACGACACACCCAATAACGATGGCGTGATATTTAATTAAATTAAACGTGTGCTATACTTGGCGAGTGCCCGGACTCATTTCCATGTCTTATCGTGCGTATTTTGTCACGTGAAATTTGTATTATTCGTTAGAGGATCTCACGAACGTATTTTGCTCCGAACTCAAATTCTTCGTGTTGAATCGGATCTATATTTTCTTCACGTTGACATCACTGTTATTTAAGAACCAGGAGACAATCACGAAGTCGCCCCGTATCTCACCGAAATCTAAAAATGATTCATCCCCGATGCGAAGGGGTGACTTTTAGGTTATCATACTTCCGCTCTTTAGAATTTGAATACGTCGTGTATGTTCACCTCGCGAGATCGCTCTCCCCTATGTGAATAAATTTAATTATAAAACAATCTTCGTTTTAGCGCTCTTATTTTACATGTACAAGATATCAGAGCCGTAGCAAGCCTCACTGGAGTCCCCGGCCAAAATATTTGTTCTGATTTCAATTTACTCAATTTGTTGCACGGAAACTGTCCATCCAGAACAAAATTTATAATCTTGAAAACACAAACTAAAACATACCCTGGAAGCGGAAGGATCTCGACACTTTCGATATATCTCGAAACACATTCGATGTCCAATGAGAGAACTTGGTCTTTGAGAACACTCGAAAGCAAATTCTATTGCATATTAAATACGTTTCGAGATGTGTCGAAATGTTTAAATCTTTCGGCCGCCGAGTATGCCTTTCAACCAGTGTTTCAGGTTGCTTCTTTCGTAACCGTAAGCGAGATATCATCCGTGAATGAATTCCAGCGCCGCGTGCGCTGTATAGCGGCAGAAAAATCGGTCAAATTCCCTTAGACGAGAAATGCCCGAGTAGTGCCGACCGGCCGGCCGGCTGGCTGGCTGGCGGATAGACGGACAAAACGGAGGAACCTTCTCTAAGTTGGGTCCCACCGAGCGAGCGAGCAAGCGACGCGACGCGTCGAACGTGTCGTGTCGCCGCCACGTATAGCGATGCGCGCATGCGCAAGCGAGTAGTCTGGCGCCAGCAGGTGCGGTTAAATATAGCTTATGCAACGGTATCCTCCGTTCGTTCCCTCCGCCCTTCTGTGTTTTTCTGTCACTGTTTCTCCTCACTCATTCTCACTCGTTTTCTATCTCTATCTCACCCTCGTTCTTGTTCTGCTCGTCGCGAGAAATGCGTAAATACGGTTAATACGCGTGTGTGGAAGGTGTTTTTGTAATCCGGCAACGGGAAGAGCGATATTAGAGTCGATCATAACGCGCTGGACGTGGTTAACGAGCATTAAACGAAAACGGGGAAAAAGTATTTTTGAATGCCGACTCTTTCTCTTTCTCTTTCTGCTTCCCATCTCTCTTCTCTCCTACTGGTAACTAATCGAGTCGAAACACATCGGGTTACTTCGAATGTACGGCCGAAGATCTCTCGAATCACTTGGAGCGCAAGTTCGAAGCCGTTTGAAAATAGACTCTTTCATTTCGGCCGGCGGGCTCGCGAGCACACCGCGGATTTCTTCGTGTAGCTGAACGCGCGCCACTTGTGCGACACGATACATGTTGTTGTCGATCGTTGGCGGTCGATTTGCATTCGCAGCATGATGTCGCGTTTCATAATGAGTCGCTGACCAACATGGATCAGCAGCATCCATCTTGTTTCTCTCGCATTTCTGCAAGGAATCGAAGGTCTCTCGCGGACTCGATCGAGTCGCGATATATATAGAGTGTCCCGACAACTTCACTCGATACCTTTCGAGCTTTCGCGAAAGAGAGGGAGAGAGAGAAGGAGTAAAAAATATAAGGGAGACAGAGGCTATTTAGCCACTGGGAAAATCGATTATTTTTATTGCTCTTTAACAAATTTCAAAATCAAGCATGTGCAGTGATTTCAAAGCTATCTTTAATATGTTTAGAAATCTTGCTTACTTAATTTTGTTAGAAAATATTAGAAATAACCGGTTTTGTAAATTAAACTCGGTCTTCCCTATCCTATATAAAATTATCAATAATGCATTTCATAGAAATTACACACAAACGTATGAATTGCACTTCTCGTTAAGTCGCTTCGATGCTGATGCATTTATCGTCGATATTACGCGCCCAAGACTCTTGACGATTGAAAACACTTCAAAACATTCAAACAACAAAGAAACCATTGTGCAGCCGGACACAGCAAAAGGCAATAGTATGATAAAGCAGAGGTCGCAATGTGATCGAGGTTCTGTTCTTCTTCTTCTTTCGGATTTAATGATTATTTGATTGAGCCAATGATAATATAAACAATAGATAATACGATCAAGTGGATATTATTAGTCAGATAATAAACTATATAATCGGAACTAAAAATTAAATTAGGATCTCGACAAAACGGTAAATATATAATCGACTTCGTGCAGGCTACCGAACTCGCCGTTCTCTTATCAGGGTCTATACAATGCGTACATATAGAACACTCATATTGAATGTCATAATATCAGAGTATACAAGATGTCACGTTAGCGAGACTGAAAAGCACTATATCAGCAGCTGTTATCTTACGGCTTTATCGCTCTCTTTCTCTCTCTTTCCCTCTCTCGGATGTAATATCTATATTATCTGTTAATCCGTACTAATTAATTGAGAATACAATATAAAGACGCGTGTGCGCATGTAGGTGTGCGTACACGCGCGCGCACGTACTCTCGTTTTTAGATAGACGCGCATACGTACTTATTTTTAGAACCCAAAGAGATAGAAAAGCGTGCAAATAAAGCGTCTGTATTCTACATAAAATAATTAACTATAAATGAAACAAAATAATAACTCGTAGGAATTTTCGCGGGAATTTTTGGAATTGAAAATGATACGCTGATTATTCGTCTTCCACGTATTCAACATTGTGATTACGCGTGAAAGAATCGCAAGTTAATCCGACTCATTCAAATCAGATAGCAGTTTTAAAGTAAAATTCTACTTGGTAGGCCGCACGAAATCGATCAGTCGACGTCGATCCCAAGATTATCGGACCCGATTGTTATTGATACAGATTGATTTCGGCTTGAACAAGTGTTTGCCGACAGCTCGTTGAACATGAAAAAAAATTCCGAGGCGAACTAATACACATTGAAACGTTGACTTTTAGATCGATGCTTTCTACAATTATTTTTGAGTCTGCAAAACAAAATTTTCGCAATTAAACGCAATTTTTTCGCGCGATTACTGCCTCGAAAAACATGAGCGCGTGATTTATCATGAAGAAGAGATTGAATTTGCATTGCACAAAATACACCTAAAAAGATATAATTAATTGTGTTATTTAGTATACTTATGTTATTTAATATATTATTTAGTATGCTTTTATTTAAAAGTCTTCGTTGCAACGTTGCACTATGAAAAAACCAAGTTGCTGAAATCTACACGAATAGAAAAGAATGAGATATCTCATAGGATAAATTAAAGTCGCATAAGCAATCTTCCATGTTATACGGGTTATTAGTTTCTCGCCACTCTGTAGATTTCGAAGAAGCTAGTGCGACGACCAGTTTGGGGCCAGTCGGCTTTCACGAGTATCGCCATGACGACACCTGCATATAAATGCAGGAACCTTCGTTTTAATATTTTAAACATGGCGGCGGAAGAGTATAGGTAGGCGGACGAGAAGTATCGAGAAAGCGACAGAAAGAAGAGGTATGCAGCGTCCGGGCTGTAACGAGCATCTTTTGATATAAGATGTACGATGTACGCGAAGCGAAATGCAAGGGAGACATTACTGCCCGTCAGAAATTTGCTACAAATTTTTCTTCGCTCCCGTACGAACGATTTTCACGCGCTTCTCTGGGTTACGACGCGCAAAAATTATTCTAAGAGGACGATTTTTCTTCTTAACATTGATATCGTATCTTTTGATTTACGAGAAGAAATTACATCGTCCTATCGTTAATGTGAGAAGCTGAGAGAGAGAGAGAGAGAGAGAGAGAGAGAGAGAGAGAGAGAGAAAGAGAAAAAGAGAGAGCAAGTAAAGGGAGTAAGAAGATTCTAAGTCGCTCCCTCTCCAGCTGTCTTCTTGCGATCCTCCTGAAGCAGGAGGATCAGGAGCCAGTTTTATGTAACCACCGAGCAGGGTCCGATATTAATACCTGCAATAAATAAACGCCTCTTCCCTGCCCGTTTTTGCCTCCTCTTTCCCCTTCACCCGCTCGCCGTGGAGAAGCACTTTGCTCTGTACTTTACTCCCTTCTCAATTCCCCTTGTGCATCCTCCAGCAACCGATTAAATTGTTGAATTCTTCGATATATATTCTCGCTTTCTACCGCGGTAATAAATCATCTACATTGACGTGATATTATTCAATACTATCTAAATTATCGGTCTCCGTCGTTAAATCAAATTTTTTAGAAGTTCTAGTTATTAATTTGTGATCCTTTAATATAAGTTAAATTTTTTATTGTAGCTGAAGGCATGAGCTCGCAAGAAGATGAGTGTAGAAGTCTTCCTCAAGTGTGTTTCAAGAACTTTCCGAACGTATGTTCTTCAAAATGAACACATGCATCTGGATGGAGTATCTGTTCACATCTTACCGGGCAGCATTAGATTGCGCTCGAATGTTCTAATACTGTCAGGTAAAGATGTCGTCAGGATTCCGAAGACAACGATAATAAACAAGAGAAGAACGCTACTGATTGGACTTACGAAACAAGATACGATAACAGAACGGATACGATTCTTCAGAGTTCTATTTAGTCACTTGAATTTTCCCAGGAGAGTCTGTAATAGGGCCCTCTCTGTCTCCATGTGGGCAGTATCTAAAAATAGATTACGAGATAAACCCGAAAGTCTTTCCTCAACAAGAGATTCCCAATGTGTTGGGAATTCCTAATTTACTATACTAGACCTTACAAGCGTGTTTAAATTTGTTACTCAATCTCTCATTTACCTTTCTTAATTTATTTTTATTTATTTAAATAATATTTCTTATTTTCTCATTCTCACTCATTTTTTCCTAATTTTATTATATTACTATGTATGTGTGTGTACGTATATATATTTTTTTCTCTTTGGAAGGAAAAGAGAACCCCAAAAAAATCTTATATACTTATTTATAATATTTAGTTATATTTTAGAATTTATAAATATTCAAAAGACATAAGTTTACCGCACATAGATTACATATTAATATGTATAATACACATACTAATGTTTTACTAATTAAAATAATAAAATGTGTAGTTGAAAATTCCTTTTATCTAATGGCGATGTACGTTAATTGTGCATATATGACTGTTCGTTAATTGTGCATATATGATATGCATAATTGATAATAAATATTTTTTTATCAATGGCAAGTAGAAAATAAAAGATTATGACAGTTCTATTTGTTTTCGTCGAAAATGTCGAACATGGTAACTATAATCCTCAGAATCCATAGTCCACCTCATCATCATGTAACCCGTCAATACAGTGGCCAGTAACAATCGGTCTAAACTGTAAAGAAAAAAGAAATAAAATTGTAAAAAGTCAATATAAAAAATCTGAACTTAATTTTATCGTTGAATTTGCAATTTTTGGCAATTGCAAAAAACAAATAATGATGCAGATAGAAAAAAATATAAAAATAGTTAACGCGCAAATAACAAAAATAATAAAGATTATACAATATTGATAAAAAAGTGGCAAATGATAGATCATTAAAACCAATTAGCAAGTTACATAAGATTTATGAGAAATAATAAATATAAGAATTGATTTATGTAAAGATGATTATATACATAATTAAGATTGTAAATAACAATTATAGATGAATCTTGCCAACCAAATTTTAAACTTATGTTCAAAATATATTATTATATTATTAAATTTTAAATTTATATAATGTTCAAAAGTGTGTTTTATACTACTTTCTCACAATTTACACATGTAGGTCACAATGCATGATAAGCAATGTATATATATATATATTCATAACTAAAACGTAAAAAACATAAAAAAATTTTTACCTCATGAAAGGATAAAGCCATAAACTAATAAGAAATCCAATAAAGCTAGGATGTCTCATATGCTTCATATATCGCTTTAAACCATTTGATTTATTGTCAAGAGGACTATTTCTGCCAGATAACCTGTAAATTAATAGTAATTAGCTAATGGAACAATTTAACATTGAACATTCTTGTTGATGCCGTTATCACAATATTCATTAGCTTAGGATATCTCTTTGGATGTAAATTTTAATATATTTTTATCTGAGTGGATTTGAAAACTTTTAAAAAATTTACAATTAAAAAGTTATTATTCTACCTATAGAAGACCTGCTTCAGCCCATATAGTTCAGCAATATCCATCATGATACAGCCACTGTAAATGAAGCTCCAAGCAAATACATGAAGACTGTTGAAAATTACCCAAAGAACATTGTTTTCAGAGATGTTAATATACCAAAAATGAAATGAAACTTGTTGCCAGTTATTAATAAGAAAGTGAATTGTGGCTGAGTTGCAGATATTATAAATGCTTCTACTGAGATATTCTATGTGCAACTTGCAGCAAATTTGTTTAAATTTATTGCTAGCCATGAGAGAGTGTTGCAGAATAAAGGCAGCAATTAACAACATATCCAAAAGAAGGCTCCAGAGATTATCTTGCTCCTTATTGTCATCTGAAAAATATAAAAATTACTTTTTGTAGTTCTATAAAAAGCATGGTGAAAGGTAGAAAGTTAAACATTAGATGTCAACTATAAGATAAACTTTTAAAAAGCAGTATAAATACATTGAATAAGCCAATACCTGAGTGAATGTATATATTGAGATTTGATAGGAAATAAGTCAAACTACACCAAATATAAGTCGTATATAGAAAATTAAAGATGGACACAATTACACTAAACACGTTCGCAATCATTTTTGGTGGGATAAATCACAGAAATATGCTACATAAGTCTAAATTTATTGTGCTTCGCAGTCATGATGAGCTCTCCAACGGCACTGCAATATCTTGCACTGCATAATAAAAACAATGAGTAAATTCGGAACTACATTGATTGAGCATTCAGTAAGGCGAACAAACTGAAATGACATTCAAGAGTTTCAGTAGCGCTCCCCCGAGGCCAACAACAGCATTACTATGTTGAATCAAGATGCCTCCTCATGCGGCGTAACTTACGTAAACATAACTTGCGCCAACCAATCACATCATCTCATTTAAGTACCAGTTTCCGCCTAGTTATTTTGTGCTCTTTACGCTATTTTCGTTACGCTAAATCCAATTTTTGGCTGTATTAGTTACGCCGCATGGGGAGGCATCTTCAGATAGCGTGTTCGACTGGCCCTGGGTTAATCGCTCCGAGATTAATGATTAATGACGTCATAAGTCACTACTAGCCAATCATAAGGCTTATAAGTACTTGTTCGACTAATAAACGTAGGCTGAATAACCCAGAATGGGTTAATCCAGAGCCAGTTGAACATGCTAAAAGTGCGTTCAGATGGAAAAAGAAATAGCGGAATGGAATAGTTACGGAAAAGAGATATAGTGGGGGTCAGCCAATCAGAATAATTCCGTTCTGTTGTTATTCTGTTTTTATTCCGTTCTGTTGTTTGATAGGTAGGTATTACATAGCACAGAACTGTTACGGAACAGAACAAAAACAGAAAACTTTCTAACCTATTAACTTCGAAAATTGTAAAATTTTCAATGTTGATAGGTTAAAATGTTTCCGTTTTTGTTCCGTTCCGTAACAGTTCTGTGCCATGTGAAACCTACCTATCAAACAACAGAACGGAATAAAAACGAAATTACTCTGATTGGCTGATCCTCACTATATCTCTTTCCCGTAACTGTTCCGTTACACTATTTCTTTCTCCATTTGAACGCACCCTAAATCGAAGACGTCGAATTGCTTTTTTACCTCGAAAATGCACAGAAGTGAAAGAGATACGAAATCTCGTATCTTTTTCATTTCTATGCATCCTCGAGATGAAAGAACAATTCGACGTCTTCGATTTACAATGTCGAATACGATTTACAATATCTGTACGATAGAATGAGAAAGCACTAGAGGCAAACCAACTTTCTCACTGTTTTAAACTGCCAACTTCCGGCTTCACTCGCTGCTACAGCAGAAGTATAGAAATGCTTTGTCTATGTATATACGTCATTGCTTTCAAGCACTTATGGCTCCTGCATGCAGGACGCGATAATGCTTGCCGCGCGGCGGAAGTCCGCGCGACAGCCAATCAATATGCTGCTTTCCGTAATAACCTTCTAGCTCTTACGAAAAAACAACATATTGATTGGCTGTCACGCGGACTTTTGCCGCGCGGCAAGCATTACCGCGTCTTGTGTGCAGGAGCCAATACACTCGCCAATACATTGGAAAGTATGTCTGACTCTCTCTTGTAAATTCGGACATATCCCTCTTGTTTAATAGGAAAATTTTTTTAATGGAAAGAAAAGCAAATATTGGATAAGATGTGTTCTTAAAATTATCAAAAAAACGTACAAACTTTCAATGACAAGTATACAAATACATATAAAGGATATTCGTGCGATTGAAAGATCCTAGTATTATAAAGTCACTATACTTTAAGGCTGGTATTCATAATCGGATCTTATATTTAAGCTGCCTTAAATTCATCTTTAGATGGTCTACGGATGATTTCATTGGCTATAAAGCATCTGAAGATAAACTTAGGACGGTCTTAAATATAAGATCCGACTATGAATATCGGCCTAATGCCCAATTTCTTCATCTTCGGTTAACTTTATCTGTCAGTTATTCTATTGGAATTGACCAATCATATTTATGGTTGGCAAGATTAACCAATCACGGTTGACATTTATCCGACAGATAAAGTTAACCGGAGATGAAGAAATTGGGCATAAGACTGTAGCGAACAAAGCTATACATAGCTCTATCTATCGGCGATAATGATAAATATCTTACTTCTGTGTGTACTACATACATACTACGCGCAGATGTGCGCATACATATATACTTCTCTCTCTCTCTCTTTTATCCCCCTCTCTGTCGCAATACATATGTGTATGTATCTAAATCCCGAAACGAAAAACATAGGCAGATGGCTGGGGATCTATGTTGATGATTAATAATCGTCAGTCAAATTGATGGTAGTAGAGGCGAAAAAAGCGCAACAGCAGCATCAACGGCAGCAGCGACAGCAGTAGGAGTAAGTGGCGAAGAAAACGAAAGCGACAAGTTCACTGGCGCGCGACCAGGATCACTGTAATTGTTAATCGAATTTATTGTTTCGGCATCGTGTACGAGTGAGCAACCGAGCGAGCGAGCGAGCGAGCGAGCTAGCGAAAAAGAAGAAAAGAGAGAGAGAGAGAGAGAGAAAGAGCAAGAAGTCCATCCGTTCGTTCGAGATCGGAGAAATAGTCGAGTCGTGAGAAACATGGCGTTTGTTTCTCCCGTACGACACGGAAACATCGCTGTCTGCTAGGAATCGCAAAACGCTCCGGCACATGTTCGTCGGTTACCTATCGAGGAGAGATAACCCACCTATGTTACGAGGGTCGATTTCGTCGCGACATCCCAACGAGAGAGCGTACACCTCTATCCGCGACACGCTTCCACGGCGCAGCGCTCGTTGAGACGGCGGGATCTACGACGAGCATGAGGACAGGAATTGTCTGTTATGCGTCCTGAGATGCCGAAGACCTGTTGTGAGACGAGCGACAGTGCGCAACAATGACGTCCCGTAGTTACACGAAATCTTACACTCGTAAGATTAATAATGTAACAGCCGGCAGTATACAGTTCGACAAGCTTTTCCGCGAGAACAGCAATCGACCGTCCGCTGCCAAGTCAGCAGGCACTGTTGGAAAATGGGGTATAACATCTTTCACGTCCATCAGGAGCACCAATATCAATGGTACGTACTTGTTAGTACACCTATGTGACATGCAATATCCTTTGCTGCGCAATAAGTCTCAGGTAATCTATACAATGATTCTGTGCTTTCTCAAGCATTTATTGTATATATTTTTATCATATGAACATGCATATGCATAATATGTAATGTTTGTGTATCATGGAATGATTGATATTAAAAAAACCTTCCAGAAGAGAAGTTTCCAGAAGCTCCAATTAGTCACTATTGCATTATTCATGGAACACAAATTTTGAGTTTAAACAACAATGATGAGAGATTGATACAATGAGAAATTTATATTTGATAAACATTCTTTATATTGTTTTATTTTATACATATTACAGGATATTGTATATTGGCCCATTTAACAGAATTTTATTCAGGAAGTTGCATATTTAATCTACAGCATCTAGAAATATAATAGTGAATTATTGAATCATCTTTCATAAGAATAATCTTTCAGCTATATGCAAATATAGCTTATTTATATATGCAAATATATCTTATTGTGTATAAAACGCATGTAATATAGATGGCAGTTTATTTATATATTATTCATTTATCTCTTATACAAATTTAAATTGATACATATTATTATCTAGACAGCTTAAGCATATATTTACAATCAGAAATATGGGTATCAGTTGTCCTTGAAGACTATGAGATCATCAATAGCATGGTTGAATCATTTGAAAACATTAACATGTTTTCTTTTTCCTTCTTTAGCCCAGATCTACAATGTGTTTTTTGCTTTCTGTTTTTCTTCTTTACTTCTTTTTTACTTAAAACTAAAGCTTTTAGCTAGAAAAAGATAGAAATCGAGAAACAGAAAGTAAAGAACACATTGTAGATAATGCTTTAGAGTAGCTGTAAATGTTGTTTTATTGATGGAGTATAGAAACATAAACATCGTGCGCTATCCATGAAAGATACATATAAACTTTACAACTATTTTGTTTTTAGGCAGGAGAGATGATATCCATAACACACTCGGTGCGAAGAAGATGAAACTCGACTATGGGAATCAGAACGCCCGAGTGAATACCGGCAAGGATCCGTTCTCCTTCGAGACCGACCCAGACAACAAGCCGGACGCTGCTCCCGCGGTTGTGAAGCCGAAGAAGTTCTTTAAAAGCCGAAACGCTCCACCCGTAGTGGAAGAAACGCGCCAAGATGTGGCGATCTATAGACAAGTACCTGATTCGCAATACGGCCGGCCGCGTGTTCCGAAACAACCCCAGCAACAGCAACAGCCACCCCCGCAGCAGCAGCAGTCGCAACAGTCTGCGCAGAGGCAGACAATTGTGACGAAACTATCGCAGGCGCCAATCAAGAAAGTAATAGAGCACGTACCGCTCAAGAAAGTAACAGAGAATTTTGATAACGCGACCGGCGGCGACGCTGGCCCGAATCGAGAGGAGAACAAGCCGCCGATCGTACTGAGAATATGCAAAGGCACAGCGCGACTCGTCTGCGGGGATGTGCAGGACACACAGGACACCGTCGAGCCGGAGACATACCGAATCTCCACGTCGCTCACCAGCCCCTCCAAGGTAGACATCGAGCGAAAGACGTCAAACACATCGGAGACGTCGCTCAAGTCAGACCACCACAGGCCTGTGCGTTCTTCTTCGCACCAGCCGATCGTCTCTACCATATCGATCCCTCTGGAGAACACCGAGATGCGCAGGACCACTCGCAGCCGCGCGAAGAACCTACATCTGGACCTGAGCACGACGACGTCCGCGATGGCGTCGACACCGGCATCGACACCGAACTCCCACAGCTCCGGCCTCTCGTTGACGCTGAGGAAGTCCGTCACGGACTCGAACAACACCCTCATATCGCACTACGACATCGTTAAGACTGACTGCGGCTCCTCGTACTCCTCCAAGCCGACCATCGAGCCGTTGATCGGACGCGATCAGCCGCTACCGACCACGACTCAAGAGCTGATCGATATACTATCAAGTGATTCTGACACGAGACTATCGCAGCCACTGCCACCGCCGCCACCACCACCAGCACCTTCACTTACATCCACATCTGCACCGGCGCCGGCACTTGCCGCGGCTGCAACAGCACCCACGATTGTCGTCAGTACTGTGATGGAGGCTGAAGTAACGCCAGAGGACATCGCAAGCCATGTTCAGCATTGCACCATAGATATCCACACTAACGAAGTTCTGCCTGAGCAACGACAGGAACAACAAGCAACAGCCGTTATTGACACGCAATTGGTTGAGCCAGCGGAAGCGGCAGTCGAGCCCGATCCTGAATCGGAGCCGGAACCAGCGGTTCCGCGCGTTACCGATACTGAAGTCGCTGGCGCTAAAGCTCTGGTGGATCAGGACTGGTTCTCTAGCAGTGACGACAGTGAAGGTGCTAGTGGAAACGCCGAAAGCGAGATACCGCTGCACGTGACGAGTACAGTCTCGGAATCACAGGTCTCCAGTGTACCATCGACGAGTGTACCGATCAACAAACCCGCCGCCGCCGCCGCCGCGAAGAAGGGCAGCATTTTCAAGAGTCGCTCGACAGGCGCGACGAACGGCAACAAGAGGCGAGCGTTGTACAAGCACAAGTGGTGCGACAGCGATAAGGAGTCCATTGTCACGGACACGCCTGTTGCTGACAACAGCACACCCACTACCGCGTCCAGCTCTAGCAGCGCGGGAACCTCGGTGTACGAAGAAGAGTTCGATCCCTCGCAATTGACGAGAGTCGTGACTTACCCCACAACCGACATCGACTTCGAGGACGAAGCAGATGCAATCACGAGTGTTCGTTGTGGTAGAAAAGTTAAAGGGGTAAGCGTGATGAATATTCTATGGAGTATAATAAAAGAAAATGGTAGGATTATTTTCCACAATTGTACTCCATATTACTGTTATTAGATTCTTCCATATACATCATACTAATTGTAATATTCTATACACTGTGTATGGAATACATAATATTTTCACACATTGTATGAAATATAATGCGGAATATAATAATTGTAGAATATAATAATGCGGAATATAATAATCGTGAAATGTTGCTCGTTTCTTTGCTGTGAGAATCTGTTAAACTTTATCGAATAACTTTTTGCAACTTTATCTTGCTACAAATGCAATGAGATTAATTATTGTTCTCAGTTGTGCAATACATACTCGGACGCGAGATGTGATTTTTTTATACTTTATTTGATTCTCACCGAGATGATATATTTCAACTCAAACTTTGTGTTATAGTTTTATACTGTGGTGAAAAATGTAAAGAAAGCTCATCAGATACAAGAGAGCGGTGAATTCCAAGAATTTAATGACGACGTGGAATATATCTTGGATACTTTGAGAGAAAATAATCCAAATGCTACTCGTTGCCTTTCTGCCATACGCCTAGCAAGCAAATGTATGGCTCCTGCATTTCGTATGCACGTGCGTGCCCATGGAACAGTTGCCAAGTTTTTTAAAGCACTTCACGATGCAACTAAAGATCAGGTATGAATGATAGAATTTAAAAATTGTTGATTGTAACGAAATATTATTTAAATTCAACGTAACAATAAGGATACGTAAAAGCCAGTAAAACTGGATCGCATGGGACATGCGACTTCTTTTCAATTAGATGATAATGCTGTTATTGTTGCAGAGTCTCGGTCTGTGCACAGCAACGGTGATGTTTGTCTTAAGTCAAGATCGCCTAGCTATGGATCTAGATCGTGATTGTTTGGAATTAATGTTAAGTTTGTTAGAGTCTGATGCCAGCCATAAGGACGCTCTTGACGATTGTGGTCTGAGTCATGCTGAATTATTAAAAAATAAGGAAAAAGTGCGCCAGTTGTGCGCCGATATCCAAGCTCAAGGACATGCTAAGCATCTAAATCTAGATAACATTACTGTGAGTAACCCTATTTGCGATCCGTCATGATAATTATTCCGGAAAAATGTACTTACATGATTTTTCATTTCTGATATGTAATTCGTTGTTTTTAATAGGTTGGTCAGCTTGCTATGGAGACACTGTTGAGCCTTACGTCAAAGCGCGCTGGAGAATGGTTTAAAGAAGAACTACGAGAATTAGGCGGTTTGGAACATATTGTAAAAACGATTCGCGAATGTCATCGTCATATTAACAGCCAGGATATTTTAAGATCTGGCTGGACAGATCCTTTATTAGATAAATTACGTAAAGTTGACAGATGCTTACGTGTATTAGAAAATGTAAGTGTATCTCTTTCTTTTCCAAATGTCACACTTACGTTACATTACGAATAGAAATTTGATCATGGTAAACGTTTTTTTTTTTCTTTCAGGTAACTCATATGAATGAAGAGAATCAGGTGTATTTATTGAAATATGGGGACGGAGTATTAGTAAGCACATTAGCTAGTTTATATCACTTTTGTGGTCGAGAGATTCCCATTTATCCAACCATGGATACAAGTGACAAAAGTTCCACTGGTGCTGTTGTTAGAGAATGCCTTTTTGCTATTATTAAAGTTCTGATCAACCTCACTCATCGATTTAATAGACAATGTAAGATATCTTAATTTCAAATATTCACCATATTATTTTATAGAAAGACATCGTATCATTATATAGAGAGAAAATGATGTTTTTTTTAATAATATATGCTTTTTACAGCCTTTGGTAGCAAGTCGATCGGTTCTCAAGTTGGTGTTTTGGACTGTAGTTTATTTCTTTTATTACGTGTTCCCGAATCACTTCCAGAAGAAAAGCGGTTCGACATGATGATGTTGGCATTAATTCTATTGATAAACCTAGTAGAACAGTGCGATGATAATAAACAACTTCTTATCGACTCGAGAGCTCCTCCATCGTCAGAAAATATTTTTGACGGTACGTAATTCACTGTCCAAGTCGCTCATTTTAACCTAATGTCCAGATGATGATTACGAGTATTTATATATTTTTTATTATCATATTTTTATTATTTTAGCAGGAGAAAGCGGAGTGGAATCCTTAATCGATTTATTTTATAAGCAAGAAGAACTTGCACGTGCTGAGGAACAAAAAACTGACGCCATCTTAGACGGAAAGAAAGATTCTGAGCAAATAGAAACAGTATCGACTACTACTAAATCTCAGGAAGAATTCATCGAAGAAACTGTCACAAAATGTATGTATTACGCGAAACAAATTGTTCATCGAACGAGTAGTTGCCGTCATTGTGATTATTGTAATCGTATATTTATTTTTCCGCAGTGTTGCAAAAAGCTGGCCGACATATGGAACACACTTTGATTGGAGCGTATGTCGTGCTTTTACTTGGATACTTAATAATGGATAACAAGGTAATTAAATACAATTTTAATATGAAAAAGAATATGATTGAAACATTTATTGCCGTGGTAATCACCGCTAATTGCATAATATGATATTGTATGACGCGTCTTAATAATTTATATAATTTATAATCATATGTATGTTATACAGAGACATTGAAAAATTATTTGGCGTTGTTCCAGGAATATGAATCGCTAGTACGAAGTAGACTACGAGACAAGAGTTTCACCACTATGGTCTCTGTACTTCAAAAGTTCTTCAACTTCATGAATCTGACGGCATCGGTAATTTTATTTCTTTTTTTTTTTTATATGAATGTTTTCTTAAATGATGAATGAAAAGTTCTACGATACTTACTATACGCGTGTTTGTTTCAGAATGAAGTGAGTAGTTGCGGAATCGCTGCTACTGAGAAGGTAATTAAGTTCCTAAAAATGTCAGATGCCAGAATCGAGGAGGAGAACGAGTTACCATTACCAGCATTAGAAGACACCAATACAATGCTCGACTTAACCTCATCTTGATTGACATGTCATGCACACACCTGACAGCATTTTTTTTCTAACCTGGCGTATGCGAAGAGCCAAAGTTGTACGTGTCCAACGGAAAAGAAATTATTCTCTGTCACGATGGACTTCTGTTTCATATTCGTATATTTTGATACATATTTATTCACTTACGTAATTTATTGTAGGTTTTCATCACTACTAATTTGGCTAAATTCTTCATTTACGATAACGATAAATCATTTCATATTTTAATTGATTTTTAGATATAAGATAATGTAATTTGAATGAACGTAAAAACACGTCTGGTATGATTGCAGGGCACTTATCGTGATTACACAGTGTTTAATATCAACAATAATTTAAGCTAACAGATAGCTACTTTTTTTTTTAAAGTTCAGACTATCAAGAAGCATGACACTGAGCTTCTTGCCAGTCTAGATGATTTATTTTCTGTATATGATCTTAATATTGTACAATCAACAATTTAAAATTATATCTACGTTTTAAAAACTGTTAAGTAATTGATACTGCACTAGGATGCGTTATAAATCGCTAAAATTCAACATAGCATTATGTGTATAAGTTTATTTTAATATTAAAATTATATTACCATATAAGCCTTGTAAATGTAAATTTATAAATTATAATTGTACCTTATACACATCTGCGGTTCACAATTATTGGATCCCACTAACGTGTACATACGTAAGATCTAGCGTGTAAGATCACTATTATACTACATCGTGATATGTGTAGAAAATCTAAAAAAATATTCTGCATTATACAATAAAGTTTTAAAAGAACGTATATTTAAATCTAACCCTAGTGGCGCTATTTTATTTGTGGTCTGTTCTTTTCAGCTGCGCTGCTGAACTGGTGCAATAAGTTAAAGTGAGACAAGTATATGTTTTCTCACTCTAAGTTATTGCATCAGTTCAGGGCCCTGATTCTCGAAAATATATCGCATATGACATTTAGTGAAAAGCTATAGGCTGCGTTCCTTTTGGGCGCTTTAAGCGCTTATAAACGTCACTCTATCTTTCTTTCGCATTAAGCGATAAAGATAGAATGGCGCTTACAGCGCGTGAGCAAAAGGAACGCAGTCATAGTATACATGAACTATAACTTTTCACTAAATGTTGTATGCGATATATTTTCGAGAATCAGGGCCCAGCAGTGCAGAAAAGAACAGACCAATTGATTGACTGCCGGAAAATGCACAAATAATAGAGCAAAAAGTACAGAACCTGCACCACCACGTCCGCCAAATCTGGAATTTGGAACCTAGAAGCTCAAAACAAAAACAAGCGATGATCCAAGCGATGACATTAATAACATAATACACATATTAAGAATATATAAATTATTTTGTTTATACATATATAGATTACAAAGTTTTATTGTGAAGAAGCGAGTTGTGTTGATTATTGCAATACTGTGCAGTCTAGTGCAAGCTGAACATACCTCGACTGCTCTGTATAATGGTTCAACAGAAGTACAAACTTGTGGAACTTATAAATCTGATTGGTATATGCTCTTAAGGCCATTCTACAATAGCTGTAAGAATATGGCTGTAATGACTCTCGCAACCAGCGCGATTTGCGACGCGACACGCGATATGCGATCACGCTATCCAATGAGCGTACAGCTTTTCCGGAATACCAATACGCTCATTGGATATCGCTCGACGCATATCGTGTCGCGTCGCGCATCGCACTGGTCTGCGAGAGCCATAAGACTGTAAGACGCGAAATGAATTATTTTCATTCGCTGACAGCTCACGTTATAGCCTTACGCCATATTCTTACAGCTATTGTAGAGCCTTAAGAGCATACACCAATCAGATTCACGAATTTTACAATTTTAAACAGCTCTCTGCTGAACGCAACCTATATTTAATGATGCGATCTATTAGGCGCTGCAGATACTTTGAAGCGTTATTTAGACCAATCATGGCTTTTTTTAAACGCTTCAAAGCGTTTGTGGAGTCTAATGGATCCCACTCTAAATGGTTTACAAGGCCACGTCAAAAAGAATAACCTATGTATATAACCTTTGCGATTTGTGTGATATGTAGCTGTCAAAGCAATCAGCTGTTGTCACAGTCGACAAGTACAGGGATATTGAAATACCAATTTTTCAGGCAGTGATTAATGATTCAACATGACGTGCTAATCAAAGGATGAACTGTGTGAAATAAAATTTCCCATGCTTCGATCCCAAACGTCCAGTACATAATTGGAGTATTCAATTCTGTGCAGCTACTTTTTAATCATAGGGCATACAGGCGTGTAGTGTGTAATCTATGAATTTAGGCGTATTCAACAGAGTTAATCTCAAGGTGCTTATGCTCTAATTATAACATGTTTACTATCTAATTGAATATATTTACTTTCAGTTACACACAAGTAGTTTGCAGAAATAATTATATAAAATTTGAATAATTTTAAATCTTAATTTACATTCATTTGTAGTTATTATCTATAATTTGTATGCTTATATTTAAATTTATAATTATATTATGTACTGTTCTATGTCCTAAAAAAGGAGGAAGAGTTTGTAAAACTAATTATATCTTTTTTTTTTCAGGATTCCCAAGGAGGAATGTATTCAGAATGGGCTTCACTGAGTACCCTGATCCAGCAGGGCTCAGAGGAAAGTCAAAGTGTACTCGAAAAATTTCCCCCTGGTGCAGGGAGAGATGTAGCACTATCCATAGTACACCAACTTGCAGCTAATCTTGGTATTACCCAAGCAGGAGAGCCCAGTCCACTCTGCACTGATAAAGAAGTTCAATGGTGCATGGAAGTGATATGTTTTGGTTTGTCATTACCATTAGCTGAGCATGATACTGTCAGAGATTGTGTCAACATATACTGCGAGTGGCTGTCTGCGTTGTATTCCACACCCAAAGTTTCTGTGCCAGGACCGATCATAGATGATCCAAACTTCTATGCTAGAAAAATTATAAGCCATTTTCATAATTTATTCGTCCCAAGGAAAGGAGAAGGTATGATAGATATTGATTTTGCTTTTTATTGTTTTGTCTACAATTAATCTGCTTTTCGATAATGTCCGTGTTTTCTTTCCCAAAGTCTGGCCTTTTTTATATCAGGATCTAGGTAATTTCACAGTGTCAAGCATAGTTTTTTTGATACGCATATTTATCACAAGACTGATTCATCGATAGATTGATATTCACAGTATTGAAGCTCTATGAATGTTTAGGTACAGATACAATAAATCGACAGGCTGTTCTGTGTCATCGAGTATTAAGGACTTTACAGCAGATTGCAAGAGGCCCGGCAACTTTGGAAAGAGAAACATGGGAGAGTCTGCTGTTGTTTCTCATTGGTATCAATGATGCATTACTGGCACCACCGGCGACTAGAGAAGATGCAGGAGAACAGCTCTGCGAAAGAGTGCTTGGTGTATTGTTGGAAGTACGTAAATATAGAAGTGGTCAATTCTGTAAATACATTAGTGTTAACAATGACTGTACACTAACAAAATGTTTTTCTGTTTTCCAGGTATGGCTAGTATCCTGCGAACGCAGTTTTCCATCACCTCCCTTATGGCGCACGTTACGAGAATCTTGCTTGCGATGGCGTCACAGATTAGCTTTGGTGGAACAATGGAATCGCGTGTGTCTCGCCCTTACGGCAAGACTACTGCAGATCATGTATGGGCCAATGTTCCCTGAATTAAAGATCAGTATGTATCTTTAAATTTGGATTCTTTGCATCCCATTAACTCAAGTGTAAATTAAATTTTAAATATATCATTATTCATAATTAGAGGACATAAGAGTGATTCCAAAAATTTCAGTCTATGCACAATTAAACAGTACAGTTTACATCTTAAAATAAACTATATTGTTGCATATGGATAATTTAACTCTCAGTATAATGAAAGTTTGATATTATACAGATGCATGTATAATTTGTTAAAAATTCATGTTAACAGGTGAGGAAGACACACAACTTGTACCACCTACTATGCCGGACGAAGCTGTAGCGCAAGCATGGTACAGAATGCTGCGTACTATTGGCGATCCCGTGGATCTGTGTAGACCCGCCATTGTGTCGCAAACGCAAGCATTTTTACAATACGCTATTGCCAGTCCAAATGTTATAGATCCGTGCCAACATCCATGTCTGCAGAGTTTGCCACAGATATTTCTGAAAGCTATAAAAGGCATAGCGGGTCAAGTTGACGCCTTTCTCGGTAAGTCAAAGATTCCAATTTGAGCGAACATCTTGTTGTAATTTACTGGAGAACATATATATAATTAAATACTTGTAAATTATTGTAATAACAAGACAAAAAATTGTATATTTTTTCTACGACCTCTCTCACATCTATGAGACTTGCACACGTGTTGTTGGTTTGGTCACGTTATATTGGTGGTGGTTGCACATACTGTCACGAATGTTTTAGGAGTTTCACAGGCATGTTGCTGGGAGGAATGTTGTGTATCCAACGTTGCGTCGGGAAATAATAGCACAGGAAGTGGGGGTGTCGGATGGGATAGGTCGAGCAGCAAGGATCAGCCTCAACCTTCCCCTACACCCCCAACGCAACGCAGACTTGCCAAAAGTTTCAGTGTCACTCCCTCTGCGGTTACTAAGGGTACTTTCAGTGCAATCTCTCGCTAATACTCAATCTATTTTGTCAATTATTTCCTTCACAAAGATTCAAAGTCACAGATATTGTAGTCATTGCACACCCATTTCTGTATTATATTTTACTCTCTTACTGTGTATAAAGTTACTATATTTCTTACACTATGTTATAATGATAGTATAGGCAAACTGCAGATATTTGTGCAAAAAATGCCTTTTCTATCTTAGAAAGTTGGATTTTATATATCTCCATGATATGAAACATGTTTTAATTTTGGTCCCACTCTAGTTATTTTCTATCGAAATATATATTAACATAAACATCCGCAGTCTAATTGTAAGATGATATGAAACGCTAGTTACGATTGTTTGTATTGAATCCTTTAGTAAAATTAAACTTTGATATTTTATAGCTAAAATTTGGTAGTATTGAAGTATGAAATTACATATATGTATGATAATAAGAAAACACTTCATAGGAATTCCGAAAGCGTCATTAATTGGATTAACAACAAGCCGCGTAATCAGTACACCACCGATGCTGATATCTAATTCTGGGCCATCGTCTGCTTCGAGTACAACATGTAATATTGTTTTTCTGAGTTTGTAGTTGAGTCATTACGAAGATCGCGATCATATTACAATTATAATTTTACAGCTATGACTTCACTTGGCCAAGACATCAGACCTCCTTTAGCCCCAGGACGTCCTAAGTGTAATAGTATACTACATCTTTTTGGGGAATGGTTATTCGAAGCTGCGTTTATCGGCACTGAGGGTTGGTCACAAAATTTACCGCGTAAGTATCTTTAATGACGAAGCATTATCTTATGAAGCATATCTTTCGAAGCATATCTTATACTACAAATACATTATATGCAATTGTAATATCATAGAACCATCGGGTGCCTCGAAACGTCCATCTTCAGTGCTTGTAGACGGACCAAGTTCGTTGCAAGAAACCGTAAATGACGTACCATCGACGCTCTGCATAGATCGCTATGAGTCAGGCAGAGCGGAGGCATTGGGCGCTCTATGTAGAATTTTTTGCGCTAAGAAAACAGGCGAAGAGATCTTACCTGTATACTTAGCCAGATTTTATCAAGCGATGTATCATGGTCTCAAGGTGAACGAGGTATGTCATCGATATTAATTCTTATGATTTAGAGGTATATAATTTACTTTATTTGTTTTCCGGATTTGGACCGCGTCTTCTTTGTGTATAGTTCCGATGTTTCGTGAACATTCACTTCTTCAGAGAGTAAATCTAAAACAGACCTGAAATTGTTTCACGTCGCCCTGCTTCCTGAAGAAGTGAACTAAGATGTTCACGAAACGTCGAGATCATACACAAAAAAATCCGGAAAATAGGTAAAGTATTGACATTTCCTGACATCAGGAAAGCCTAAAATATCAGATATATAATTTGTTTATATAATTATTTTATTTATCTCTAGTCGCGCGAATGTGGCGAAACGTTGGCGAGTATTTTGTTAAATTCAGCCGACTTGTTTCGCCTCGATTTAAACGGCATACAAGTATTGGTACCGGCCGTATTATCCGCCTTGGAAGTCGTCCTACCGGAGAAAGACTTGAAACTGAGATCCAACTTAGTGTCAAAGCCGGATTTAAGAAGAGCGTCGATACATTTATTGATATCGATGTTAACGTTGCCCCTGCACTTTCAGGTACGAAACTTGAATAAAAATATCGATTTGGATAATTTAAGATATGAATGTTTTATTCTTGTAGAATCTCGCCATCAAGGAACTTCCGATATTCCCAGGAACAAATTCATCCGAGAAAACTCCCATAACGTTTATACAATTAAAATCGAGATTGATGAATTTGCTCATAAATGCTTTACAAGTGGAGACCGATCCTCAGAATACACATATGCTGTTAGGTAAGATACTGAAAAAAAAAACAAACGATATGCCATTCACTAAGAATACTTATAATCTAATTCTCGCTTTTCTAATATATATTTTTATCCGGAACGCGTGGATGAAAGCTATGTAAACAATTTTTCTAGGGGCTCTTTTACTGAGTGTACAAGATTCTGCAGAAGCGGAAGAAGTAGAACAAGTCACGCAACCAGACGTCGTGGCGAATGACTCCACCACCAATTTATTATCCTCAGGTTTGTCCCGAATATTAATAAAATGTTAGCTTGCATTTAATTGAATACACTGTTCTGAGTTACCTCTAGTATCATTCAATTCCTGTTTGTGTCTAAATTTGATGAATAACTATGATATCATAGGCGTTATTTTTTATATGTTACATATATTACGTGACAAAGCAATATTTTCTTTGAATTGTGACGAATTCATGATGCTCGTATAGAGCGCGTCAGGAAACATTATTTATTTTATAACGCCTATGAGCATGATTGGCCTCTTTTTGACGCCAATGAAATAGCAAAGTCCCAATTATATCGCTACTTTATCTAATACGGCAATCTTTCATTAACATTTATCAAAAGCTTTTGAATGGGAGTAACTCAGTATGATGATGCAATATTGAAATTACAATGCTTCAATATCACCTCTCATCGTATCAGCTTTACACGTGCTTATATACAAAATGTTAATTTTTATTATATTACGAGTTGTGTTCTGTTGTGCAATTTTCGCCATTGTATCGTCTTATCATCGCTTAATAGTCACCAGCGATTCAGCCAGTCAAATAAGTATATCCAGTGATCAGCGATCAATTGGCGATGCCTCTGATATTGCGACTCTTCAAGAGGAATGCATTGCATTCGGTAAATACAAATATTGTTTATCTTGCTACACACGCTCATAAAAAAATCGCATTTGAGGACATTTGTAGAGTGTGAATTTTGTTTCGTGCTTGTCGTTTATGTTTTTGTCATTACATTCAAAGTTCAAAAATATGCAAATTACTCCATCTCTCACGGAGAAAACCTCCCAAGGCTAGACTCTTAAATTAGAAATAAAATGTTTGATATGGAAATATTAAATTTATAGTAATTTTTACATAATAAACAATTAAAATTAACCACTATTATTTAAAACCTGATTATATAAAAATTATATATATATCTTCCTTAAGAAATCTAACTTCAAGAGGTTTTCTGCAAAAGGTGTGAGACACCCTGTGTATATATCCTACTTAGGATTTATCACATATTAGTGTGTCTTAAGTACTTAAAAAAATATATTCATACAGAGAATATACACTAAATACATTATATTTTAAATATAGACTCAATGACTAAACAGTAGGTATATTTTTGCAGACTCCGCGCACGCTCTTTTCGTACGCGCTACATACTTTGTGTGTCATTGTTTGATTTCATCGTGGAAGACTGACTTGAATATCTCTCTAGCAGCGTTAGAGATGCTGTCAGGATTAGCACGCACACGTATTCGCGAAACAGGTAACAAGAATTGAATATAATAGTGTGATTTAACAATTTGCCCTATTATATACATAACAATGTAGTCATATACTTATCTCTGTCTTATAAATCAATATAGTCATATATTTATTTTTGTCAAATAATTTTACATGCAGCGAGGAAGCTTACAGGTCTGATACTAATTAAGAATCAGAAACTCAATAGACATACGCTTTAGAACAGTGCGTGTCAGATTGTTGTATTTCTTACAGATGCACTAGAATGCAAAAGAGCAGTGAAATGGTTGTGCGACTACATTGCGTATCAATGTTGGCGTCCACCTCCGGCGCATTCTAAGGATCTCCATTCTTCCATCGTTGCAGCATTTAGTTGCTTGACAACTTGGTTGACCGCGCATCCACAATTATTACAGGTATGTCCATTGTCCTTAGAAATGATTTGCGAAATTGCCTCATTGAGGCAATCGTGAGTATACGTTTGTTTTTATTTCTTATCGAAGGACAAAGACTGTCTGACCACAGTATTAGAAGTCGTTGAACTCGGAGTGTCCGGCACTAAGAGCGTTGGAAAACCAGGTGAACCCATTAAAATGAAGGATGAAAAAGAACTGAAGCCTGCGTCCATGCGTGTAAGAGATGCCGCTGACGCGCTTCTCACTATTCTGTTAGAACAGGTTTGTACATATAGTCTAACAGATTGTGTATAGAAGAAATATTCTTATTCTAATTATAATATCGGTATCATTGCCATCAACTCTTTATAGATTTCTCAGTAGCCCTCAAATCGATACTAATAAACTTTATTTTTCACTGCTTTATTTTTCTCCAGTTCACAATTATCTTTTCTTTTGCAGGTCGGCTATTTTCCAAGTGCTTGCGGAGCGCAATCGCTCTCGTCGTTATTGGACGAAGTTTCATTACTTCGACACTGCAACAGCTGGACTGGTGGACGTGTGGCCCGGCAAGCGGCCGTGGAGAGATTTCGTTACTTCGTTTCTGAGAATGCAATAGTACTAGCTCTGTTAGAGGAGCCTCTAGGAAATGATCAAGATCCTCAACCGACCGTGACAGTTCTGATCCGCGGACCATTCGGCAGACACGCGTGGACGATGCAGCTGCGTCATTTACCGCGTCACCGGTCCAGCATCAGAAGCATTAATAGCAATCCTGGCAGACCGTTGCCATTGGCTGAGGCCGCTCCAAGAACAGACTATAAGCCAAGATTCTTCCCAGATAATGTAGATCGCATTCCCCATTGTAAAGTGTAAGTAAATTGATCTTGCACTATAAAGTTTCAATCCATCTAGAACTTAAACTCCATCTGCTTAATTAGCAACAAGTTTCTTCTCCTTTTTCTTTTTTCTTTTCTATTTTTCTATTTAAGTTCTTCGATTGTTTTGGTTAATAAATATTATTAAATTTTTATCTAATATATTTAGTATTTTCTGTGTGTGTTTTCTTATATTTTTATATTCTTGTCTTCTTATATTCTTGTCTTCTTATATTCTTTCGAAAGCTCGAACTTTATCGCGTCTTTATATAGCGTCTATTAACTGTTTCATCAAAATTGATAATATTTTATCGTGTTTTTACTCACATATGTTAGATACATCCGATAGATACTTTATCTCTTCTTACATCATTTAGCATATCAATCCATCTTTAATCTATACGGCGGTATTTTATCAAAATGGATTAGTAGTATTTAAAGAATTTAAAGTGTCAAAATGAATTAGTAGTTTAGTAGTGTTAAAATATACAAACTATATTTATTTGAAAATTGATATTAATATCTATTTGAATTAGTCCGTATTTATTGAATTTTACACATACACACACACACACACACACACACATATATTATTATTATTAATATTTATTCATGATATATTCAGGGACGAATCAATACCAAGTCTTGAGGCAGTTATGAGTGACAACGACGCCGTACGAAATGAACACCAAATTCTTGCACAACTCTTAGAGCGCCAAATAACGCTCGAGACCAAATATGACAATGGTAATGTAAAAAATACGGAAGAGAAGAGCGACGAGTGCGTGCCACCGCAGATCTGTCATGAATTTCAAACGGCACGTCTGTTCTTGAGCCATTTTGGCTTCTTAAATATGGAACCTAAGGAAAATGAGGAGTCTAGAGATAGCGGTCTTATTGCTTTAGATCCAACTATTCCCGGATTTTGCATAGATTTGGAAACATTAGATAACATTAGTCCACGAACATGTGATACCGTTCATATATTTTATGTAAAAGCAGGTCAGAAATCTGCATCGGAAATATTATCAAATGTGGTAAGATGTTGCTTATCTTATATATCAGTTATATCTAATCGTTATTCATCTTTTAAGGCTCCTGGCCCCTCGCATTGTCTATCTCTTTTTAATGACGTCAGAATTATAAAAGTTAGGAAAATAACTGTCACTATTTCAATGTATTTCGCAAGAATTTTTAGCATACATTTTCTCGCTTCTGACGTCATTAAAAAGAGATAGACAATGGGCGCGTTCAGCGAAAAAAACGCTCAGTGAGCAATCAGCGATTATTGGTTCTTACTGCTAGATCCCTAAATCTAGACCAATTACATTGACGAATTACTCAACTGTTGAGTTTGCTGAACGCACCCAATGCGAGGGACCAGCAGTCTTAAGGGGATGCTGAAGCTGAAAACTTTACCGACAGAACACTGACATTTTTCTGCAAAATTTACATCGTATTGGTTACACAGAATTACAAATGCTTTTTCGCAATGAAAGTATGTGCAAAAATAAATAGGAGCATTGCTCGATATGTAACGAAAACGAACCAAAAATTTTTAATGTAAAATCTCAAGCTGTCAGTTAGCGCAATATTTGCCTAATCCAAAAGTTCCGCAACTTGTATACACCGAAAGTGTGGATGCTCCAAACAAATAAATTTTGAAGAACATTGTTCTACCTTTGCATCTATATTTGGAAGCTTAAGAATATCGAAAAAGTTTGCAGAAAGATTTCTACACATATATGGTTAGATTTTCCGTTGAATATGATAAAACAAAGCAATACACATTCATGCAAGTTCTGTATATACAAGAAATACGAAAAGGATAGCGTAATTATATTAGTGACGATTGTCTCTGCATTATTGACATTGTTCGAATTCGTCATCGACTCCAGCATTCCCTTAGGAAAAAAGTTCTTAAATGCTTTTTTATTAGATCAATAATGAATGATTGATGAGTTATACATTAAAGCCATATTGAAATAGCCTTTTATTTGATTTCAAATATTTGACTGATTGGTTCAATTACTAAGAGTTCAATCTCTCTAACAGTTATTTTTCACTAATTATTAAAATTACTACTTACGACAAAATATGACAAAATACGATATTATAATCAGGATATGAAAGATATATCTTGTACATATACTTTATCGATTTATTTTTTACAATTTATTATTTTTATATTTACAGCTGCATGAGGAAAATGTATCGCCGAACTTTTTGGAGTTTTTAAGTTCTCTCGGCTGGGCCGTTTCTGTGTCTGCTCATGCAGGCTGGACCGGTCATGTATCCACCTCTTGGAGGGCAACGGCGCAGGTGAACGTGCCGCAACCGGCTCATAGCAATCACGGCGGAGCGCTTTATAATGGCGACACGCACGTGTTGTACTGGGCCGACGTAAGTTCAGAAATTGCATTTGTGGTACCTACTCAATCGTATCTCATGGCCAGCTCGGACTCACTAGAAGAGACTAGCAGTTATAGCAGCGATATTAGTAGTGGTCAAGGTAATATTTAAAAGTAGAAAACATTGTTAAAGAATACAATATGATATAAATCGTATACTTAGCCGCACTGATAAGATACCGAATCTTTTTTTCTTCATAGTGCCACACGATTTAAGTCCCATCTTGTGCAATGAATATTGCGCAATTGTGTGAATAAGAACGTGATTAATATCTTGAGTATTGTAATAGCTTTGTGTATTATATTGCAGCATGGTTCGAACGAAGTATCAGTGAAAGCACGGATACTCGGATCTCTGGTGTATCACAAAATACAACGCAGACTTCAAGAGCGATGTCACTCGACTTGGAAAAACAACCGTCGAGTTTGTCGGGAATAGGCCCGACAAATTCGTCAAGTGCGGATCCTATTAAACCAAGAAGATCGACGAAACAGGCTCTACCATTGCAAACTAATACAAAAATTATGGTTGTGTGGTTGGAGAGTTTAGAAGATCATATCCAATTTCCGATTGGTTCGTTAGTTTTTCTCTTAATACGGTCAATATAAAGAATATCTATTATAGATGGTTTTTCAAGAATTTTTCGAACTATGTAGGTGATCTGCTCCCTGCCACTTGTACTGGATTGGAGCAATCGAGGATAACGCAAGCTACCGATGTACAAGTTATTTTTTTACAAGCTCTTGCTAGTGGTTTAATGCGGGTCAGATTGCAGGGACCAGTTTCTAGAATAAATCTAGCAACACCTCTAATTGATGGTATGGTAGTGTCGAGAAGAGTCTTGGGAACACTAGTTAGGCAAACAACTCTTAATATGGGACGCAGAAAAAGACTTGATAACGATAGGTATAAAATTGATTATTTCTTATGTGTTTCTTTCATGATATTTTATTCCGATAAAATTTTATGATTTCATAAACTTCTCTACGTTCTACAGTTATCATCCACCGCATGTGCGAAGACGCTTGAAAATTCAAGAGATGGTACAGAAATATAAGAGAAATCTGACAGATCCAGAATTGTTAACGCTTTTATTTAGCAGTACTCAGACTTATCGAGCATAAATAAGTCTTTTCGAGAATCTCGAATGAACTTAAGGAAAAAGGCAATTTGATAACATTATTGCAAGTTTATGCGATCGTTCGGAACGACACAATGTCCTACATCATATGTTTTAATACAAGTATTACACATAAAATTCTGCATCTTAATCATTATTTTATTACTCGTTAAATCGGTATTGTAGATAGCGCTGTAAGATATAAATTATATTCATACTTCATAATCAAATAATTACTTCAATATAAAATAATTAAATGTATCATTAAATTAATTTATTATATCTATAATAATATATATGTATATGTATTCTATACACATCCTCTGTATTGCATAATTCTTCTAATGAACTATTCCACAGATCTTACAGATTGTTCTACCGACAATCAATTACGTATTCAACATTGCCATTGTTCTACCTGTCTTTGGTTACGCAAGCAAGAATTAAAATTTTTCTCCATACATACATTATATGATTACCGTAAATATTAGCATGCTTCTTGTATATAGGATTATAAGAATATCACGATAAGAAATCTGTTCGATAAATTAATTAAAGGATCACTTGCCTCGTATCTGCTCTGGGGTCAATTTCAGATATATTGATTAATAAATGAAACGTTTCACACATGGTTCTACGACTTAAAACGATAAATAACGATTCTACTGATAAATATTCAAAGTCTTTACAAAAATAACAAAAGTACGTTGGAAAAGAGAATTTTTGTTTTATTATTATCTTTTATTTTAATAATCAATGAAGTGGAACTTTATAAAGCATCGTTTCATAATACGATCAGATCATGTAGCGATTTTTATATAATACCATACTATTACGAAATTATTGACTGCGCGTAAATTATCTGACACTGTTTAATTATCCTTTTTGGAAAAATATTCTGTTTTCTTGCATCATTCATTATATCTTCAATTCAATGCTTATCTGCTTCATGTATTTTACATACATTCGATATCTGTACTTACACTACGATTCTATCAGTCAACAAGTCAAACAGGAATGACTATATAATTTTTTTCTACTTTTCATTATCGCGGTTGCAATAAAACGTTCTCTCCATTTTTCGACAATGAAATCACATCTATATTAGGAAGACGCCTAAGTGTTACGCAAACATGTATATCTATTATTATATTATTCTATTATTATTATTATATCTATTATTATTATATCTATTATTATTGTTAATTTTACATCATTTATGACATTGCTATTATTGAAACATATATTTATACAATATAAAGGAATTATCACTTTTTAAATATTTGTTCTTTTATTGCAAAATGTATTCTTATATTCAAATTGGAGGAAATTCTGCGCGTTATCTTTGGAAAATATTCATAAAATGAATTATAATTTAACGGTGACTTGTCTTTTAGACTCAGTAATTCAACACCGTCGCAGAACTAATACGATTACCGAAATCCGAAAATTGATAAATGAAAAATAAACTTCGAAACTTATACTTTCCGAAAAATCTCTTATATAATCCAACAATTATGACTAAAGAAAAATGAATTCGTCAAAGATTGAGTCATATATCCAATCAAGGAAAAAATCGACCACAAGTACAAACTCCTCACCGAATGTATAAATAAATTCTATCTTCGTAGATGCGAGACATCTTGTACGTTACGTAACGATGGTACATCTATTTATTTCCCAATTCTGCAGCGCGACAGTCACATATAACATGCTCGCGCACGATTACTGATTTAAGTTAAAAATATTTGTCCTCTTTGTGTTCATGTAACAGTCAGTTAAGATACGAAGATTCCTATCTAAGTGAGCAAGCGAAACAGTCGAACGCATACAATGACTCATGTCTCATCTAAAAGCGATGTATCATTGTCCATTTAACGCGCGCAACGCGCAGCGCGGAACGCGTGAATCTATTGTCTGAATTCAGCGCGTTTCGTGTTACTGTACGCTTTCAATGTCCCGCTGTTATTTTCACCACGTTGACTTAACGACTGAGTATACGCGTTCACGGCAATGAAATGCGGCGAACGAATGCTGCTTTGTAATAACACTTCAATTATTACAAAGTATTATTCTTATCATCGATGTGTCTATTAATGTAAACAAGTGTTCTGTCACTTTTTCGTACAAATATACAATTATACAGGACACTATTATTTTTTTTCGAAATTATTCTTAACGGTGAGAAGAAGATTGAGTACAATTTAATAAACTCTATGATTTACTTATATAAATTAATCCTTCAGTCGCCGTGTAAACTTCACAGTTGCATTTTAATATTAATGATAAAGAAAGGAGAAAAATTAGAAAAAAGTTCTTATTTAAGAGAACAAAAATCAGTTTAAGAGAACATAAACGTATTAAAACTGTTTTTTCAAAAATTGAAATTTTTTTCAACATATACTATATTTTTATTTCCTGATATATTTTTCTTTCACGATAACTGAAAGTTAAGATAATATATCTTATGTAATAAATATATCAATTTATTAGAAAATATCTTTAGTTCTTCAAGACACTTTAAATTCATTATCTCTAATCATTCATATCGATCCCGACATTTCCGTTCATGATATAATTGTGATTGGTGAGAGGGTTATGCGTTTATGATACAATTTCGGTGTTACACGCAGCACATTTCCAAGTGATAAGTTGTTTGCTTTTGCCTTAATAAGGAAGTCGAGTAATGCGGTAGTCTCTCTTATCAGATTCATTGACAATGACAAGCAAATTCACTACATCGAGTATTAAATATTATATATATGCTTACATATCGATGCAAGTTATTAGTCGAATGAAAATGCCGACGATATAGATAATATGTTTGTTTCTGGCCGAAACAATTCTCAGACTCGTTCTGAAAATATATTTTACATAAAGTTTTACAGTTTTAAAGTTCCACAACTTGAAACAGTATGTATTGAGTAGGAGTGACAAACTTTTCTGTAATAAAACAGAACAATGTTAAAATTTTAATACTTTTTTTTGTTTTGGTTACGCAAACTGATTGTAAATTGTGAATATTCATGTATTTATGTGTCACAGAAAGAAGTACTAAAATATGTTGACTTTCCTCTTTCTCCCAGTTTCTCAAAGACATGAGTATAGCTTTTTACAATACATATTAAAATTTTGTTCAGGTAATCAACTTAGGATTCGTTATCTATATGCATGAAACGCAAGTTTTAGTAATCGAGTTTTCAATTGATTACAGGCGATAAGGTATTTGTTCTTAACACTTTCATGTGTCATAATCTTAAGAAGGCACTTAATTAAAAATATATGTCGATATATTTTTTAATCCTCAAATGATATATACAACATAAAGGTAATTTTATTACTTAACTTATATGTCACAAAAATCTCTATGCTAGAACATATTGACCACTTTCAATTCTTCATTGTTTAAGTTACTTTTTCAAGTAATGTAACAAATATTTAAATATTCAAATATTTAAAAGCTTCAGAGATATAAATAATATAAGTAATTTGCACAATATAGATATACGTGGTCTAAAATTAGACATCCGTATTGTAATTTTGAAGTTACATAACTATGGAAGAAGACGAGGAAGGACACGAAAAGAAAACGAAACGATAAAACAAGCACGTGAGCTGAAAGCAATATTGATCAGTAGAAAGTTTTAATATTTGATTGCTATTTTGCGGGATAATATACATCGAGTTAACGTCTACTTTTTGTAATTATATTGCGCTCAAGCATTTCACAAACGATAAACGATTCTCGGTAATGAGAATCGTAACAATGATAGTGATGTCACTAAGTACATTGATTGCTATAAGCGAGTACATACATGTGTGTGTAATTCGTACTTATTGCTAGAGATCCATGTATACCCGATACGTGTTTATCGCGACACGATGTGAGCCTGCCTGATTTCAAGGTCTCTATTTACGCCGCACATTTAATGTTATATAAATGCGCCTTCTGACAGTTATTCAAGAGAGCGATATCCGTTCACGCATATAAATTTCGAAATGAAGTGGTTATAAATGGTGGAAACAAAGAAGGTCTTTTGCGACGCTAAATTGAAAGGATTCATACATTCGTTGGAGATGCCCAGTTATCATGTTATGTTTCTCTTTTGTTATCATCTTTTAGCTCTTTAATGAATTATTTTCTTAATCTCATTGCTGCTTCATTGTTGTATAAAGACACATTATTGTGTATAACGACTACACGTAACTTTATAACGTTTATAAATAAATATTATATGCAGAAAGAAACAAAAATATTTGAATGTATGTTATATATAATTATTATTTCTAGGTTACTATTGTGCCTCTCATTGATAAGAATTAAAATCGTATTATTCGTGAATCAATAGTAATAGATTCTACCTTGAAGTCTTCTGACAGTATCATACAACGTTCGTAAAATCGTATTTGTAAGCGCAAGCATGTTACGTATTTATACGCAAGAGAGCTAAATATTATCATCGATAAACAGTTCGCGATTGAGAGTTTGAGAAATTCATAAACAAAAAAAAATATATATATATCACACCTCAAATTCATTTTTTCATCTTCTTTCCTGTGAAATAGTAAAGGCACATTGCGCGCTATTGTAATTTAAATTGGAAAAATCAATTTTTATTCTCATTTTTACCAACGTCAATTAAACTTTAAGGCTTTTGTGTCCTCGCCGTGGCCATTTGGATTAATAATGTGACAAAGCAAGGAAATGTATATCCAAAATTCTTGTAAAACGTACGTTAAATTATTATATTCATAAAATAGCACTTGTAATTGATTGAGTACATTTGTAAAATATTCCAAAAGTTTTCCCTTTACTTTAACAATCAATGAATAGCCGTAAAATTAACGTAACAAAATCATAAGGAAAAGTAGATTAAAAAAAAAGATTATACGCGCGCACACATACATATGTTACGTTAATTTTACGATTATAATAATTATCTAAACAGCACAATGTCCAAAACTAGGACATAAGATGCCTTTAAGATATCTTTAAAACGACTTAAAGACGTTTTATGTCCTGACGTTATACCCCTTGTCCACAACCTTGCTTTAATTCTTAAGCCGTAAGAAATTGACCAACCACAGTTCATTATTTTTAAAATAATCGACTGTAGTTGGTCAATTTGTTACGACTTAAAGATTAAAGCAAGGTTATGGACAAAGGGATAGACGTCTTAAAGATGTTTTATGTCCCAGTTTTGGACATGTGTGTTATCTGGGTATTTCTTCATATGATCATACTCAGATAGCACAAAATCTTCAGAGAATATTCTGGGACATTTTCAGAATATATGAATGTCTTTAGAACGCCCTTTGAAAATTTGTGCTGTATGGATAGTTACAGATGCCTTTTTTTCCTAGTGTAGTAAATAACGATTGTAGTAAATAACAATCGATACCAGATGCACCGTTCAAACGATCATGAATGACGCTGCAGATCGATGTTTGCATATATGTGCTTGAATGATTACGAAATACAGGTCGACAATCCGTTGTCGATTTTTACTACTGATTCGTCGATCAAACAGATAAGAGACTCTACATGTACCCTCTTCTCCATCATACTTCCTCGCGCGATATGTAATGATGCAAATCGCACGGTTATCTTCCCGCCTCTGCGATTCGTACACGCAACGTACGCGACGATTGGTCAGCTCTGCTGCTGTGACGTGCATCAGCCGCGAAGGAGCGCGCGATCCCGTACGACGCAAAGGTGGCCGACTATCGGACTTTCACTCATTGTATACGAACGCGTTCTTGAGCACGTCGAACACACGACGAACGGAGCCGCTTAGGCCGATTCCGAACAGTTATTCCACACTTGTCTCGATCAAGGAGAGCATCTTTCTCCTTCACCTTCACCCTCCTTTCTCCTTCACCAAATTTAAGACGTTCTCAAAATTTCAGAGGTGACGAACGACAGCAGCGACGGCGGCAAAGCGGCGGTGGCGGTGGAAGCGATAACGGTGGTGGTGGTGGTGGTCAGTAGTAGTGGTAATAATAATAGTAGTAGTAGTGGCAATGCATCAGAACAGCAGCAGCAGCCGACGAGTGATTCACGTATAGATTCGTCGTCATCAGTCGCTCGCGGTGGTTCATTATCTTCTGTGTCTAGTGTCCCGCAGTCGCAGGAATCTGTAAGACGGCCGCGCGACGGAGAAGGTGGGGAACGAGACGGGCGAAAAATTCCCCTTGCTCGGATCGGTCGTCGATCGGCGATCGAGCGGCGCGGTGAGTGTGCGTGTGCGGTGCACGGCAAAGCGCAACGCGGCCGGAGCGAAGCGTGAGAGGACGAGGAAGAAGTTTGCCGGCCGATTAAATGTGTCAGCATGGAGAATCAAACGATGGACCAATTCTGCGGCACGAAATTTTGGGTGAGTGAACGGCGATTTGGATGAGTAGCGGTGTCCCTTTCTTGACCGCATCCTTTTGTGCGCCTTGCTCGCCATCCTCCTCGCATTCTTTGGTTCTTTGCACGTGCAGTCGTTGTCGTCGTTGTCATCATTTCGCGTTTAATAGGTCGCTCCTAATAGAAGCGGTATGTGTGCCTCTGAAAAAAGATACATCTGTTCGTTGTAGCGACCGCGCTTATTTGATCGGGTAATTCAGCGAGCTGTGTGTGGTGGCACTTCCGGGAATCCTGTTTCGTCTCGCTTCATCTCTCAGACACGATCAAACATTAATCGGTCAATTATTGTGATTGCCCCCGACGTGTTTGCGCGCCTCGTGTAGTACATATTGTGCATGGCGCTTTTAAAGTAAGGCTATGACTACGTTCAAATGGCGTCACCTTTCTTTTCTCTTTTTTTTTGCACTGTCACACGCGATTCCCGAGAAAGATAAAGCACGATACGACGATGAAATGAGGCAATGTCATTCTCATGATTGCAAGTTATGTGTCAATGATCGGAATTGTAGGGATAAATCTTGACACGCGCGCGAGAAAGACACAATTTAAACGTCGCATAAGTAAATATGTACTTGTGGCGATTAAGAGGCCTACTGTGTAATTTTCTATGAAAGTGTATCGTTATCACTACGTTATCGTTGCGCAAGTATATGATACAAAAGCTGCACATCGACAAATATAATGGTAGCAATGCTGTTGTTGAAAGTTGCAGAATAATTCCCTAAAAACGAAATCGTCTAACAATCAAATTCGTTTCGTCTTTCCATACGTTTACAGTTTTATTGTCATCTATTTTAGTGCTCTGTAATGTAAATATGTATCATGTATATAGACATAAACATATGATATAGACATAAGAGGCATAGTATGAAGCAAAATAAGATGATATCAAGCGCAAACAGAGATAGTGTTTGCGTAAGAAATAATTCTGCAATTATCATATTTGTACTGTGTATGGTAGAATAGAAAGATTGAAAACATGTTTGGACGAGTGTTGCTTTCTAGCTAAGTCTTCTAGAGAAGACTTAGTGATTTGAATATATAGAAATGAAGCGTTTTTGCTTTACAATGAGCCTAATAATATGGTAGAGTTGATAAATATGCGAGATTAGTTGAGTTGCATAAATCGTTCTTCTCAGAAAATTGGAAATGCTGCATGTTTTTATTGTTATGTATAATTTCCTGAGAATGTACATGGGTACAAGATAACATAGTAATATTATATAGTAATATTCAAGATAACATAGTAACGTCTCTTTACAGTCTTTATAAATGTTATATTAATATCCATTTTCATGATAAAACACCTAGATATAAGAAGTTTATTATTTCTAATGAAAGTAAAAATCTGTATGTCCACTAGCAAAATTTGCATAAAAAATTTTAATATATTATATAATTTTTATATATTATATATTATGAATGCAGTAGTTTATAAAACATTTATAAGAAGTCAATTAACAAGTTAATATTCACTAAAATATATTTTACTATTTTATTTATATTTGTTATTTGATGAATTAATTTCTTTATTGAATAATAAGTAAATAACTCATTTATGAGAGAAACTAAATTGCTTCTTATAATTAGTCCTTTAATTATTATGGTTTGTTTCCGAAATCCTACCATGTGCAATATAGTTGTGTGTATATATACGTAACTTAAATTTCTAGACAGAATAAATATAATTTATTTTAATTTCTTTTTTTTTTTTAATATAATCACAGCTGCTCACTTTTTTATTTAAGAAATATATAATCTATATGTACAAATTTAATTTTAACAATTGTCTATATATACTTTGTTTATATAATTTATAATACGTCAATAGATATTAAAAGCAAATCATGATTTCATGAAGTAAAGATTTCATAATACTATTTTAATGTGGTACTTTATAGACAATGATAAAACAACAGAAAGAAATGTGAGATATTGTTTTAAACTCATATAATTTATTCATGTGTTTGTATACAGGATGTTTAGCAGTAAACATGTTTGATTAGCAAGCTAGATAAGCTTTAGTTTCCTTTTTACCAAGATTTAACTAAAGATCGTATCTTTCTCAATTTTTCAAACTTTAAAATTAAATGTTTTAATAAGTGTCTAAAACCAAAATATTATTAAATTCGAATTTGAGAGTAATAAAAATTTATATTTTGGCCCATATTTCTGAATGTTTCAGGATGCTAACTTAACATGGTACACAGACAATCCAGATCTAACAATATGTTTCGAAAAAACAATATTATTATGGGTACCATGTGCATTTCTATGGGTATTCTCGTCAATGGAGGCATACTACATTTTACATAGCAAAAGAAGAAATGTTCCGTATACATGGTTATTTATTATTAAGCAAGTACTTACAATAGTATTGATCCTACTTTCTATAGTCGATTTAGGAATGGCGATATATGAAAGTACTTCTCGTGAGGTCTACAGTGTTGATTATTACACACCATTTATAAAAATAATAACCTTTGTAAGTATAACATATTTTATCTTTTTTTACCTTGAAAAGCCCGCACATATGATAAATTATGTTATCTGCCGTCGGTATTTATTCGATAGCTTTGCACGCGATACCACTGTGTCACCGGCATTTGTTCGATAGCTTTGCACGTGACACCAACGTGGTGTCACCGCGGACGGCATAATGTTAATCTATTATAATTTAAAAAACTATATTTTATTTGATTGCACTAATTTCATAACTTATAATACTCTTTATAACATTTCAAATAAATATGATAATCATGATAAATGATAAATCATGATTATAAATATGATAATCGTTTCAGATTTTAGCATCCATTTTGATGATATATAACAGAAAATATGGAATGCGAACATCAGGTCTTTTATTCATGTTTTGGTTTTTCCTTGCATTATGTGGATGTATCCAATTTAGGACTTTTATAAATAAATTAATTGATGAGGTATGTTAGAGGTTTTAAATAATGTTATTACAATAAACAATTCGAATTGCTTTTCAATTTATATTTTCTATGTAAACTGTTAATTTCTCTACCTAAATGTAAAAACTATTTTTGAAATCGTTCTTATATGTTAAATTTCTTAATTCTCTCGTAATGTTAATATTATGCACTTGTCAATATCACTTTCCTATGATATTTTGTAAAAAAGTTAGCGATTGTACATTAAAGATTACTATAAAATAATTTAAAAGGATCGTTTATTTTTAGGAAAAATCGTATCAAGTAGTATCCTATATGATCTACTATCCAATAGTACTGCTACTCTTTGTACTTAATTTCTTCGTCGATGCAGAGCCTAAATTTTCCGAGTATCCTACAGTAAGCTGTCATCGATTAAATTTATTATTATATGTTATAATAATATATTTAGCATTCAATGTTTATTCACAGGTTGAATCGCCATGTCCAGAACAAAGCGCTTCTTATCCGTCGAGAGTTCTTTTCGGGTGGTTCGATGCTTTAGCGTGGAAGGGTTTCCGGAAACCTCTTGAAGCATCTGATTTGTGGTCGATGAATCCAGAAGATATGGCTATGGAAATTGTACCTAAATTTGACAAATATTGGGTTAAAAACTTAAGAAAGAGAGATGAGTAAGTTTTAAGCGCACAATTGTTCCATTTCTCTTGTCAAATTGATCGACGAATTCATTTATTTTTGTTTTATTAATCTGAAAACGAGATAAGAATATATAAAAATACTCTGACATCTAATAATTTTTTAACATGTCCGTACATTTTTTGCTAACAAGACTGGTTTGGACTTACTTTAGGTAGGATGTTTTTTAACGTTTCGTAATTATCTTGATCATTGACGTTCAATTTAATATAAATTTAATATAAACGTGTATAATAGATATTTTTATATATATATATAGAGTAGAAAACGCAAAAGCGTCATTCCGAAAGGCATCTGGACAAGTGGATTTTAATAATGGTCGTAAAAAGAAAGTTGCCTCTATTCTGCCACCTATTTGCAAAGCCTTTGGAGCAACGTTCCTGTTTGGCGCATTTTTGAAACTGTTTCAAGATATCATGACCTTCATTAGTCCACAATTATTAAAGTAAGTGCTCACAAATTAATATGTACTTTAATATATTATTTACGATGTTTAACTTTTTTTTTTCTTTTAGACTTCTGATTGCTTTCATCAAAGACAGAGAAGAACCAATGTGGAAAGGATATCTTTATGCTATATTACTTCTACTCACAGCAACGGTACAAACACTAGTGTTATCTCAGTACTTCCATCGTATGTTTTTAGTCGGATTACGTATACGTACCGCATTGATCGCAACAATTTACCGTAAAGCGCTAAGAATGTCCAACGCAGCTAGGAAGGAGACTACTCTCGGCGAAATAGTAAACTTAATGTCCGTGGACGCCCAAAGATTTATGGATCTAACCGCGTACATAAATATGATTTGGTCAGCTCCGTTACAAATAGTTCTAGCTTTATATTTCCTGTGGGAAATATTAGGTCCAGCAGTACTGGCCGGTTTAGCGGTCATGATTATCCTCATCCCCATAAACGCATTCATCGCGAACAAAGTGAAAACACTGCAAATCAGACAGATGAAGAGCAAAGACGAGAGAGTGAAATTGATGAACGAGGTACTTAATGGTATTAAAGTATTGAAGCTTTACGCATGGGAACCTTCGTTTGAGCAACAGATACTTAAAATCAGAACCAAAGAGATACAAGTGTTGAAAGAGGCGGCGTATCTAAACGCTGGTACGAGCTTTATATGGTCCTGTGCACCTTTCTTGGTATGTTTTTGGAATAATTAATTTTGTAATATAATTGAAGATCTCAAAAATTATATAGCTTTATATAGGTTTACTTTTTGGCGAAATAAGTTCTTGTCTAATTATGAGATCTTCAATTATTTATATATGATACCCAATTACCTAAAAACTTTTCTTACATGTGTTATTTTAAATTTTATAGGTATCACTGGTGTCTTTTGCCACTTATGTACTTATAGACGAGAAAAACGTCCTGAACAGTACAACTGCCTTCGTTTCGTTAAGTTTATTCAATGTTTTAAGATTCCCACTCTCTATGCTGCCTATGATGATTAGTAACATAGTTCAAGTGAGTCTAAGTGATATATCTATATTAATATATTGTTTCTTTTTCTATTCGTATATATTAATTATTAATGTAGTATTTTCAGTCAATAATGTTATTCAAAAATATTAATGTACATATTTTTAGGCTTACGTTTCCGTAAAACGTATCAACAAATTCATGAATATGGACGATTTGGATCCTAATAATGTACAACATGATCCATCGGAATGTAAGACAAAACTTTCTTATTTTAAATATAACTATTTTAATTTATCTAGCATATTCCTTCAATAGCTTTTTATATATACTATATATGTTTATATATTTAACACATTGTATCACATTTCTACAGCACACGCCTTATTAATCGAGAATGGCAACTTCTGTTGGGACAATGAACGTGTCGATAGACCAATATTGCAAAATATTAATATGCATGTAGAACAAGGTCAATTAGTAGCGGTAGTTGGTTCAGTGGGATCAGGCAAGAGTTCTCTTCTATCTGCTTTTCTCGGTGAAATGGATAAATTAAGCGGAAAAGTGAATACAAAAGTAAGTATTTTTTCGAAAAAATAAATTTAATTCTATATTTTTGTGTACAATTGATATTAATGTAATTTGAATACTTTTATCAGGGATCGATAGCATACGTTTCGCAACAGCCGTGGATACAAAATGCCACGTTACAGGACAACGTCCTGTTCGGAAAAGCCTTAAATAAGTCTGTATACAATCGCGTAGTAGAAGCGTGCGCGTTGAGTCCAGATCTCAAGATATTACCTGCGGGAGATCAAACCGAAATCGGAGAGAAGGGAATCAATCTTTCTGGCGGCCAAAAGCAGAGAGTAGCCTTAGCTAGAGCTGTATATAATGATTCCGATAATTATTTCTTAGATGATCCTCTGAGCGCGGTGGATTCGCACGTGGGGAAACACATATTCGAAAATGTGATAGGTCCAAGCGGTTTGCTTAAGAAAAAAACGAGAGTACTCGTCACACATGGTATCACGTATCTGCCAGAGGTCGATAATATTATCGTTCTCAAAGATGGTGAAATAACAGAGGTCGGAACTTACAAGCAACTGTTGGAGAAAAAAGGTGCCTTCTCTGAGTTTTTGGTACAACATTTACAAGAAGGTACTTATTCTTATTTTTCTTATGTCATCTGTACTTCATGATATTTATTATAAAAATTTATTTTTACATTTTTCATGGATCTAAGTTGGAAATCGTAAGTCCATGAAAAAGTAATTACATTTCCTTGCTCTACTTTATGTATATTGCATATTTGCTATCGTGCTCGCTTTGATACTAGATTGTTAGAGTAGTGAACCGTCTTATTAAATGAAAAGTTTTATATCTCTTGGTTTCAACATAAAACACAGAATTTTTTATAGAACTTTAACATATACTCGACACGTGTATATATACTAATGATTGTATGTATACAATCATTGTATACAATCAATGTATACACGTATGTATACACGTATATATATTAATGATTAGAATATTACGTAGCCCAAGTAATTATGACCTGAGATTTTTGTATTTAACATTTTCTTTGTTTTTATACATAATAAAAATTTATGTATTATGAGTATTTAAATTATGTTTTAAAAATAGATCTTCCCTCTTTTAATACCAATTTTATTTAGAGACATGTGCATGTTATTCAATTTTTTGGTTTTTCCTATTCTGTAACATCGATATATCTTATAAATTTATCAGTACTTTCTAAGATCAGTATGACGAATTTGAAACAGTGCACGTTGACGACGGTTCCGAAGCAGATTTACGTGAAATTAAACAGCAACTTGAATCGACAATGGGGGCGGACGAGTTGCAGCAAAAGTTAACTCTAGCACGATCTAGAAAATCAGAGAGTCTAAGTGAATCTGGTTCCATAACTGATCGGAGATCGCTTAATGGTTCGCTAAAAAGGTAAAACTTAATAAATGATATTATTTTAATAAAAATAATTATATTTATTTTTACTTATATACATACATTATGTTTGGAAAGGCAATATTCTACGGAGAGTCAACAGTCCGCAAATTATATACATAGCAATAGTATAAAGGAAAAGGAAGCAACGAAAACTAACAATACTGGGGAGAAATTGATAGAAGTTGAAAAGGCTGAAACTGGAAGTGTAAGTTGCATTAGATATTATCTTCAAGAACAATATATTTTTAGAAAAATTTTCCAATTTTTATGAAAAAAATATATCTATATTTACATATTTTTCTTTTCACAAGGTAAAATGGAAAGTGTATTCTCACTATTTGGTGTCGATTGGATTGTTCTTATCAGTAGCAACAATCGTAATGAACGCTATCTTCCAAGCGTTCAGCATAGGCTCGAACGTCTGGCTTAGCGTTTGGTCAGACGATAATATGACTACTCCTAATAACACAATCGATAAATCGAGACAAGACATGTACCTGGGAGTGTACGGTGCACTCGGTATCGGTCAAGGTATGTTTTTGTACGACACGTAGATCTTCATAATGTCTGATCCGTTTGGCAAGTAGATACAATGATTAGTACCGTTTAAAATTTCGCGTTCATGAAGGACAGTTCTGTATCAGGTAAGCTATTACCTGCCACTAATATATACTTGTACAGATATATATGTACTCACTTAATCGCGAGAGGCAATTATGTTCATGTAATAACTAACATTAACAGGCAATGGCACTTGATTTTGGTCGTTGTAGTATAGTAATTCGAAAAGCATGTTCCCTCACAGATTACACATTATTGGGGTAATTTATTAATAACATAGTAATCTTTCATGTTTAAAACTGTTGAGCTGAGTGTGACTAATTCAATTACTAGTTTGTGTTGAAAATCATGTTACAAAATATTCTTACGTACATGTCGCACTATACATTAAAATTTCAAAATAATTGGAACAATTTCTTGTAAAGAAAAACTACTCAAGCGAGTGTAGTTTGCTGTGTCTATAAAGCACTGATATATTTATAAAGTAATTGGAAAATAATTTGAGAAAAAATCTTCCAATAACCATATGTTTGACTGCAAGTAAACAGTTGTCATAAACAGTTTCTAGAAGTAATCGATTTCTTTTTACTAGTGCATGTGGAAAATATTTCCATTTAAGACTTTTTGATACGTTAATTTGTTAATCTCTCACCTAATATCTTTTTGCATAGGTGAATAATTCATATATAATAATTATAAACAAAGTAGTACGGGAAAATTATTGACAGGCCGTTCTGTTGTGGTTATTACAAAAATTATAATTTATTTTAAAGTATTATAATTATAAAATTGTATTTTTTTTTGTGTGGTAAATTCTAACTACTATCTCTTATTGTGCGCGATGTACGTTTAAAATCAATATATGTAACATAACGTATAAATTTGCATATAACAGATTTCGCAATCACAAAATGGTCCATCAAAAATTTTTCCACTGTCTCATTGATTCTGTTTGCTTGAAATCAGTCAAATAGATCACAGATCGTGATATCTATCGCTTTATGTCCAGATTTTACTACATAATTTACTATATAATGGAAAAAATATAAATCTCTTTTTTTTTTATTTTCTTTATTTATAAGTTGCTGTTATATTTATAACATGAGCATGAAGTAGACGAAAGAAAGCTTCTTATAGTATTTAATGTATTTAAAAATAATAAAAACGGGAAATCAGTCTATATCGTACCGTTTACTAAAATTTATAATTAAAATTTTAAAACAGTAAAAGTAGTGAGACTACAATTTTCTATCGTACGCATATGTGTACAAAGTTCAAGTTTTTTTTCAATAAAGCTTCCACTGATTTCCTGGTCAAACAGTTGCAAATTAAGATGGATTAATGGTAGTGGGCATAGTTAACAATGGTATACATAATTCGTTCTTTGTTTTATTACTAATATTTTTACCGCCAATAATAAATGCTAGTCATGTTAATCCAATTACATCTCCGCTAAATGAAATAACGAATAAATGAATAACGAGACATATTAATTTTTTACCGTATAATCCGCAGAGTTCATGCAGTGATTAACAAAACTTACAGCTGTGCGCATTAACAAACAAGTTAATTATTTTTTAGCAAAAATACAAAGTACGGAAACTATAATGTGTCTTTTATAGGACTGTTAAAGCAAGGCGTTAAAGCAATTGTTTCTTTTTCAATACAACAAAAGATGCCGCTCATTCACTTTAAACTAAATTTCAGCCACTTTTGTAATGCTGTCACAGACAGTACTGGTCGTTGGCTGTTTGCGGAGCAGTAAAATGCTGCACTCAGAATTATTATTCAACATACTGCGATCACCGTTAGGATTCTTTGACATCACACCGTCCGGCAGAATATTAAACCGTTTTGGGAAGGACGTTGACGTAATAGACAACGTTTTGCCTCCATGTATTAGGGCGTGGTTATTTTGCCTAGTATCGGTATGCGAGACTTAATCTTAATTTGTATTTATATCTTATGTACGATTCGAAAACATATTTATACGTGATTCTTTTTTTTTCTCTTTTTTAACGAATAACACAGAACACTGGTCCACCAAACAGTACAAATATGATTAATCGTTCACTCGGAATCGACGAATTCAAAATATCTTTCATCATAGGTTTATTTACAATTTTCATTCTCGTTCAGCGATCAGCAAATTAATAGAGAAGCCCATTATCGATGAATTAATGGATCGACGTAACTGCATGCTTAGCAACACTATATATTCCAGTACGATCTTTTTACGAAGTGCCATCTTTATCGCAGATTTCTTTTTTTTATTAGTTGTACATTACTACGTATTTTTATATTTATATTAATTTTTTATTATATTGTATATACATATTATTTTGTTACTTTCTTTATAATTACATGCACCTCAATTCATGTGTGACTGCAGTGAGGAACTTGCACATTACGTTAAACAGATGATAAGCAACTAATGAAAATGAACATTGTGTGTGCCATGATTCGTCATTTTATTCATTCGGAATCAATATCCGATAACGATCGCGGCGAACAACGCCGCGTTCTTTAATATATATAAACATCAATTTTACTCGAACAATTTTACAACAAATACCAAAGGTTGATCACCGACGATCGTTATAGGCGTGGCAGTATTCGCAACGGCGTTATTTTTGGCTAGAGGGACGATAAACTCGTCCATACATCTCTTCCGTGGCACGCTGGATCGCGTTCTTCGCAACCCGATGTCATTCTTTGACAAAACTCCGACCGGTCGAATTCTTAGTCGACTTGGTAAAGACATTGATGTCGTTGACAATATTCTGCCGATGCTTCTACGTTCTTCGATCAATTGCCTCTTTGAGGTATGATATTCTCATGTAACTACGCACTAATTGCACTAGTACTGATTTTCCTGTGACAATGTTGTAAATTGGTATTACCGTCTCTCCTACTTGTCGAACGATGTCACACTTTACTACAGATCAGTACCTCTCTTTCTTTTCTAATTTAATCTTGCAAAACTTATTTTCTTACTTTTTATAAAGTATTGACTTTGCACGAAACATTTGTTTCTTTCATTTTTCCTTGTACTGACAAATGATTCACTCTAATCAGTATATAATTTGAGTTATTTTACATTAAGTCAATATATTGAATTTTTACACTTTAAGATGATTCAATATTAAGAGACTAAACAAATAAAAATGAAGTTCTCTTTTTTCTCTGTTAATTAAATTATTTATGAGGGATTGTTCTGTACACATTCAAACACAATCAAGGCTTGAAGATACGCTTAAAGATATGTGAATCTCTAATATTATAAATTATACAAACATGTTCCATTTTTTGTTTATTATTTCATAAATATGCGATATTACATGGGAAACCCTGTTGGGTTTTATATCGTGCTGCTCTTTCAATCGCATTTCATTAATATCGTAAAGTTTATCGATTGTGTGTTGATTACGGTGTGTGCAAACCATTTTTATTACTTCAGAAACGGCAGTATAGCAAGACCGAGTATCTCATGATGTTCCTCTTAGCCGCGGGATGCTGTTGATGATGTTCATTTTCGTTTTACTGTTATGATATGCTTTGGACCTGACGAGTCAGAGATGCTATTGACTGCGTTTAGCAGAAAAAACTGCTTTGCAACTGTTGTAAAATTCGTGAATCTGATTAGTACATGCTCTTGGATTCAACCAAAATTAAGAGCATACTCTAATCAGATTCACGAATTTTACAACAGTTGCAAAGCAGCTTTCTCTGCTGAACGCAGCCATTGTCATAACGAATGAATGGCCGCGTTTTACTTGTTTCATATATCGCTTTAATATCTCAAAGTGGAGTTTCGCTTCGCCGAATTACGATCATTTTTACGTCATCGCTTAATAAAATTCATGATTGTTACTTTAATATTGGATTTACTTTTACATTTATATTATATTTATGTTCTCTCAGTTCTTTCAGTTTTCTTCGTTATTGTTGTTTAAACGTTATCGTGATGTTTCCATTTTAATTTTCCTTACGTCCAATTTATACTGTACATAATCATAGTGCAACTATAGCATTATGTAGTAATCGTACAAGGAATGGACACAATTATACTATCTAATATTCATGTACAGAAATAGTCTTGCTTGTGCTTGATTAACGCTTACTTTATATTTGCTTGTATAACTTATTTCTAATTACGATTCTGTTTCCTAGGAACGTGTAATCTGCTTGTACTTACTGTATACTGGCATTATAGCCTTACCATCTGGTAATTGTAACTGAAATTTTTTAGAAACACTGGTTTTTATAACAAAATAAATTTTTAAAATAGAGTTCTTCAGAAAGAGTGCTATTTATAACATAAAACAAAATCATAAGAAAAGGAATAATATTTGACATATTTTTGCCACTAGATGTTGAGACTTAATATGCTGATCCGTATATTGGCTATGTTCCACAGACTTTTGTATACTATATTAGACACATCGGGTTTATAGAATAAAATGTGATAATCCCATATGTTGCAAACATATTATTTATAAAATGTTACGGAATTTTGTCACATTTCTTTGGCAAAGTTTATGCTGAAACAGATATTTAAAAAAAAAGGTAATCCAATACTTTTGTCTACAATTCAATCACAATCTGTTTACTTGATAAATGGTAACTGGTTTCACGTTCCAGGTCGTTATTAATGGTCTGTTGCAATATATAAAAGTCTGTGCTGTCTTGTCCGGTGTGTCACAGCAAACTTCACACCTTCGTATAACGTGAGACAAGAGTAGAGCGGTTTAAATTCATGATATCGTAAATGTGTGAATGTTAAGCAATATTATAACAAAGAAAAAAACTTTATACATCTTACATTCCGCAATTCAGTAAATTTATCAACTCATATAAAACGTGAGAACAAGAAAGTGTATGTGTGTGAGATAGTATGGGAGAATGAGGTAGAGAACGGTTAAGGGGTGGGCAGGAGAGAAAAGGATTATTCCTACATGTTATATGTCTTGTGTAACATACTCTGTTTGTTTACGTAAATAAGTTTTGGCTAATTTAAACGTTTGTTATCGATCTGTCTGAAAAAGTCGTGAAAACTTTATATCAGGGTGTGATCACGACGAAAAGTTATCCATGTCTGATGTTGTAGCGATGACGAGCTTTTTCTGCGATTTGGCACCGCAGCTGGGCTGCTGGTTGGCTGCTCGCCAGATGCACATAGTGATGCTGCGTGCTGTGATGCGTGCACCATTGACCTTCTTTGATACGACCCCTATTGGTCGTATTATCTCCAGGTTTGCTAAAGACGTGGACGTACTGGACACATCTCTTCCTCCGCAAATTTCCGATACCATCTATTGCTTGTTCGAGGTAATTGTCTTGGAAGCGCACGGTGAAGATAGCAGTTGGGATTCTCTTTATCATTTTCTTGCCCCATATATCTCCTACTTGATTCATGCAAGTTTCATGCACACACCTCCCTCATTTTTTCATGCCGTGAGCAGAAAGAGAGAGAGACAGAAAAAGAACTTTCATATGTATCTTAGGTTGTGATCGAATACAAGTAACTTTTTTTGTGCTAAAAGGGATGTGCAAACGGTAAATAGATGGTGTTGGTATATTGTATTATGTGCGTGTGTATATATATATATATATATATATATATATATATATATATATATATATATATATATATATATAT